ATTGGCAAGGAGCTCTTGGCGCGGGGCGGCCCGGACGACGTGGTAGCGCGGTGGGCGTTCTGGTTCGAATTTGATGGGTTTTGGCAATCTGGCACCGCAAGAGGGAAAATCTTGAAGGCTCTGGAGTTTGTGCAATCCCCGCCGGTCACTTTGGATTGAGCACGAAGGCACTTCAAGGGTTAGAATTTCAATGGAGTTGTATTTGGTGTTTTCTATCCGTGTGCAATGTAGATGTGGATGCTGCCCCAACCCCAGCTCCTCTCTCCTCCCCGCCTCTCACCCCCAAAACTTTGTCAATTGCCTTATTTCAACATTTAAGTGCGAGAATTATGTCTTTCGAAGTGCTGTTCACCATATCGAGCAAGCTCGATTCAGGCAACCGCGGCTGTAGGCTGCTGTAATCGATTGCGAATACCCGGTTTCCAGGTATTTTAAATTCTGCTTGCCTAAAGATAAATAACAACTCCCAAATTTCAACGAGGGAGCATGGCACCGGCTTGCAAATTAAATGCATTCTCATTTGACCTTTTCCAATTACTTTTTGAATGTTTTGCTAGTCCTGACAAAATGATGATCTTTACTCGCCTGATACTTGGAACAGTGGTCAATATCCGGCTGGACACAACCACGTGTTGATCGTTATGTTGCACATCAGGAAATCGATAAACCCTCGAATTCTTGGTCAGAAAAAACGACTCACGGCTGGTCAGTTCATCCTGGAGAGCAGCACGACACCGGTTCTATCCATCAGACGGGTTTGGATACGACACACCCAAAGGGCAGACGCTAATAATATGTCGATTATGCTACACCTAGGGTCTATTTGGTTCTGAGATTAGACTTCCCTCACCCCCTCCTTAGCGTCAGTCCTTGTGTCATTGCCAACATGACCCAGCGAAATAGCGCGATACAACTTTCAAGATGTTTGTGAGGTATACAATTTCCAGAACTGCTGCGACTGTGCTGGGGTGCAAATAGGATAGAGGCATCCACGGGAAGCGATGGGTGCATCCCCAAAGGCGGTCAGTTGAGATAACATGGGCCGCCGTTGAAGATTGAACGATTGAGGGAGGCTTCGATCAAGCCATAAGAGGTTTGCTACTGATCAGCGAAGCTTGTGGCATGCTCATAGCCTATTTCGATTTGAGGCAACTTCGTCATCTCTTATAAGGGATTTCAATCAATACACCGCTATTTCAATTACCGCTAATTGGCGTCTCCCCTCCCCCCCCCACCCCCACCCCCCCACCCCCACCCCTTTTTCTTAACGTCAAATTGCAGCTAAGCGTCCCAAATTCGACATAGTTCATTCCCTAAAGTGGGTATATGGCCGTCCGTGAATACATATATTATCCTTGCAAAATTAAGACTACCAGATTACATGCTTATTAACATACTTGTGCAGATTCTTGCGGTCTGATTTTATGCCTATCTAGGCACAGTATCAATAGATGTGCTCATTATGTCTGCTGCGAATTATGCGTCAGACATGGATACTTTTCGTTCATTGCAATGATATCCCACCCACATATGGCACTCACCAAACGTGTAACACATATCGCGATTGGGGCTGCACCCCTGTCTGCCCCTGACCGACCGTGTCCGACGCCTACATCCCCTCTCCCATACATTCCCCCATCCCCACCTCTCCCACCCCGAAGGCCGCCACCCAGCAACCTGCCTGCCGGTAGACAGGGTCAACACAATCCAAAACCTAATCCATGAAACTGACAGGTCACGCGCGAAGTGGCCACGCCATCAGGGGCCCGAGGTACCAAATTCGCCGCGTCCAAGGGATCCAAGGGCTCGGCGGGTTCCCTGCCGCAGAGTCCATCACCGACCCCTGGGTCCTACAGCTTCGGTCCTTAAGGGACCTCTCTCTTGGATTACCTCGAAGGGCGGCGGGCTCGCCAGGGCTGAGAACGCCTCGGTGGGCGAGCCGTAGGGGCCGCTCTCCACGGTAGCAACAAAACCCCTCACGTGTAGTCCGTCAGGACTGTCCTGGCACCTAAGGACGAAGAACTTCGGCACAAAGCGACAGCGATCGCACAAAGGGCGTCGTCAGCCTCAGGAATTGCATCTCGAGAATGGCAGGATGGCTTTGGAAAGCCACCGCCGTTAGAAAGCAGCAAACTGCCACACCTGCTCCTCCCCGTCGTTTCTTTCGCCAGCGCATAAGCACGAGGCTTTGCTGTTTGGATCCTGGAATCGTCGCGAGGGTGCACGCGGTCAGATAACTGTCCCCTTTTCTGAAGGAACCCAAGCACTTCGCACCCTCCTGTGCTGGCCACATTCCTGGCAGCCCTTTCTGTAAGTACCTCTGCTTCCATTCCTCCAGACTGGCGGCGGAAGTGGGCGGCTCCCGACTGGGCGCTCGACGGCGGCGGGCGTATCAGTGCTCTAATGCAGTCTGGGTCAACGCCACGCGAGGCCCCTCTTGGACTCTGCCTATCTCATGGCAACGATCTGGCACATGATACGAATCACAGATCCTAAATATTTGTGATACGGTGGTCCCCCTCGAATCCCAGACACCGACGCTGCTTTATGCTCTAAAGACGTCCACCTTTCTCGTTGCGCATCCTCGCGGGGGCCCCAGCCTCGCCGCCACCGGATAGCAATCAGCTCTCTCGCGCATCCTGCACCGTCCAGCCGCTGCAACTGGCCCACTCGCCGGCCATCCGTAACCAGCGACACACCAGCCACATCCAGCCGGCGACCCCGCGTCGCACCTCGCCCTTAGCACAACTATGTCTTGCAAGCCTTTCCTCTCAAAGCCCCCGCGGCCAGGCTCACAGGCGGCGCCGCCAATTAGATGTTCCCAGCGCCCGCCTTCCTGACCTCTTTGGCCAAAACGTCCCCATCTTAGGATTGAAGTTTAGACGTCCACCATTTTCAGCGCCCCGGCGAGTGTCGCCCTCTCCTTCGCGGGACTGCCGTGCACCGAAAGATCTGACCTGCTGACTGGCCAGTGGCTGTCGGAAAGGCCTCCCACCAAATGGCGACAGCTCGCCGGCAGCAAACGCCCTTTCCTGTCAGATGCTCTTTGCCAAGCGCCCTGGCAATCGCACTCTTGAAATCTCGTATCCAATACGGACGCGGTTTCGAATCACGCCTCCCGCGGATGAAGCACCCACCTTCGTCCCGGCCGGGATCCAGATTATCCTCGGGGGGCGGCTGTGACTCAGCGGATCCCCGCACGAGGCTGGAGCCAGCCAGGCGGCACGAAAGAATCTCTTCGTCTGCAGGCTGACACAAAAGTATCCTCTGGCACGGGTCATGTGATATCTCCGCCTTCGGAGGCCGTCATAGCCCGTACCACTCCGGCCAGAACCCGCTAGTCACCGCCAACCCAAGTCTTTGAGGGTCCTCAGACCGCCACGCTTGAATACGCAGCTCAAAGCCGTGACCGACACACCGCAATCCTAACCGCGAGACTTCACACCCTGCACGTGTTCGCAGGGTATGTCTGGCCCGCGGGCTGGGGCCCAAGGGACCCAGGGGGCCGCACACCTTCTGCTGAAGCCACCGGCACCGCGCGGCGCCGAGAACTTCAAGCTGCCTCCCAGGAGGCGAAGTTTGCCTTCGGAAGGAGAGCCGTCAGAAGAACCGGAGTACCTGGGCACAGGCGCTCGGACGCAGGCGGTGCCGCCCGCGGTTGACCAAAAGGGAAGCGCCGCCGGCGGCAGCTGCGCTTGGCCGTCTCCGCTGCGCAGAGCCGTGGCAGCGCCAGGGAAGTCGGTGTGGAGAACGGTTGCTGTGGGGAGTGGATGGTCTCAGTATTGAGTGCTGGCTCGGCAGGGGATGCGAATCCGTTTTCAGATACTCAGAGCTGATCCTGGGGATCGGTGCCGGACAGGCTGACGCGACGAGCGCCGTGTAGCTGGCAGAGCCAGATGACCGGCGAGTAAAAGAATCTATCCAGAGGCAGGATGGTCAGAAAATCCGGAGCCAGTGTCTGATTGATTGAATGGGCGCACGTACGCCTGCGGGGATGTTTTGCATCACCCCCCCTCGGTGCTCGTTTCGGCCTGGACTTTCAGTGCAATGTTCTGTCCGGCGCCTATATGCCCCAGGCACAGCTGCTACACTCGTCGTGACAACCGTCAGACTGCCTTGCGCCGAAACCCATCAGACACTAATATTCTCAACATTTCAGCGCCAAACTACCGGTGCATAAAGGACCATAAGTGCTAGAGGAGCTTGTAGAATGATGCATGGAGCACCCCATTGCAACTGTCGGCCATTCACTGAAGGCCGGGGGGGGGGGGGCGGCAGAGGATTTTTGATCGCGTTAGTGCACAATCAAAGCCAGGGAGCGCTCCACGTTTGCTAGCTAAAGTTAAAGCCTTGAACTGGTTGGCGGAATGATGCAGCATGCGAATTCTGCGGTGTTCGCGGTGTTCATGCAGAAGCGTGTTGCTTGATTTTAATGATGCCGATGATATTGGTCCCCCGAATCCCAAAAGCGCCGCTTTGCATGTTTCGTGCGCTGTTAGTGCCACCTACTGAGGCTTTTCATTCCAAAACATTGCATCCCATTACAAGCACTTCATCGTTTTGAAGTCTAAGTGCTTCTTCCTAGCGATCTTGCCAGTGCTCAAAATTAAGCTATTCCAATAGTGCCTGTGTTGTCCTGTGCTTGGGACGTAATACACAACGCGGTGTTGAATGTATCGGTCAACAGTGCACGCTGCGCAGTGACTGCACACCAGCAGCACATCCGCCTGAATCTGTGCTTCACCTGTTCTCAAACGACCAACAGGTTTCCACAAGAACGTGGCGGCTGCACACGCGTCATATCCTAAGAAGGTAAAGGTGGAGGAAGAGCAAGGGGTCTGGCCATTGTTTCCAGCGACCGTCTGCATGTTTCATATTTACATCATGCTTATAATAAGCGTCAAAAAAATTGCATTTATTTGCGTCAATCTGTTTTCCATATTTGCTTTAATGCTTCGCAATCACAGTTTTCCTTGTTCACGTATTCTTTTTTTTCTTTTCTACAGCCAACGACAGGACACCAATGGACAGGCAGGAACACGGAGCCGCAAACCAGAAACGCCACCTAAACAATTAACTCCACCAGAACAAAACTGCTTCCCGATGGCGATCGACAGCACGCAGCTCCCTGCAAAGATGCCGCCACCCATTTCGCCCCCACAAAAGGGCGGAACAAGAATCCCCTTGCGCAAAAAGGACAACGCTGCACCATTATGCTTAGAAAAGCCCATGAAGGTGTTTCCCCCACACCTCCTCAAGAGCCACGGCCAACCCATCGGCACAAAGCAAGGGAACTTCCCCATTTGAGCCGCACATGTCAGCACTCGTCCACAACACGCGTGAAAGCAAGTGCACCAACTGCTAGGCCTGTGCCTTTGCAAGACAGGCAGCAGCACATTGTCCTGCACTCCATTCCTGTCTTGCACCATTGAGGCAAGGGCAGCCCAAGGATTTCTGTCCACTGAACCGAGCGAGCGCAAAAGCATAAATATAAAATGTACCGTGCCGACAAAAGTGTCTCAGTTCGCGTCCTTGAATTCTGCATCCACGACGGTGTCATCGTCATCCCCCTTGCCATCCGCCCCACCGGGGCCTTGAGGTCCAGCACCTCCCGGGCCGCCCGGTCCAGGGCCACCCGGTGCAGGGCCACCCTGCCCCCCGTACATCGCCGCTCCCATCTGCATCGCCTCCTCCTGCAGCTTCTTCATGCCATCCTTCATGCCCTGCAGGTCGTCCTTGTCGATCGCCTCCCGCAGCCCCTTGATCGCCGCCTCCACCTTGGCCTTCACATCGTCCGGAATCTTCTCCCCAAACTCCTTCAGCTGCTTCTCAGTCTGATAAGCCATGCTGTCCGCCTGGTTCTTGGTGTCCACGCTGTCGCGCTTGGCCTTGTCCTCGTCAGCGAACTTCTCGGCCTCCTTGACCATGGCGTCGACCTCGTCCGATGGCAGCGTGGAGGCGCCTGTGATCTTGATGTCCTGCTGCCGCCCAGTACCCTTGTCTGTGGCGGTCACCGACAGGATGCCGTTGGCGTCGATGTCGAACTTGACCTCAACCTGTCAAGAACACCTGACAATTCTTCCACAAGTCTGAAATTTCGAGCCTGCATCTGAATTCTGGTGAATGGTGCACAGATCCCTATGATCTTGAGTAATGTATCAATCTTGCAGGACCATCAGAAATCGGTTTCGATTCTAATGGCATTGCTTGGCACAACTTTGACAACATGTTGCCCAGGTTGGGGTCACAAGGACTCCTGCAATTAGAAAGTAGCCTTGCGGTGCCCGATAAGCCGCTGGGAGGGATGATGACTATGTCAGTCTATACCAAGGGTGCTGTGCCATCCAGCCTTGACAAATATGACCCTACCAGACTAAGTGCTTTGTGCAGTTTCAACACAGGTATAGGCACAGAACCCTTGCCGTTAGTTAGACGTCCCGTCTCGTTAGACGCCCACTCACACACAAGGTGGTCATCTTGAAAGCACACTCTCCATCAGCATGTACTGCCAAGGTTGTCTGTACTGACACAAAGGCTTTTGCAACGTCTCATACATTGCAGAACAGCCTTGACAAGGCCTTGCTCACAGGTGAGACTGTGTTGTTGTATGCTACACGCCCTTGTCTGTTCTTGGCTTCTTTTGATCCATGTTTCAACACAAGAAGTAAGGCCATAACAAACAAAGGACAATGAAGGCAAAGCAAGACAAAAGAAAGAATAGAAGAGACCAAAAAACCGACCATATATTGTTAGAAGGACAATCTTCACCTGAGGAACACCCCGAGGTGCAGAGGGAATTCCGTCCAGCCTGAAAGTGCCCAGGCTCTTGCAGTCCCGCACGAACTCCCTCTCCCCCTGCACCACATTGATCTCCACACTGGTCTGCCCATCAGCTGCAGTGGAAAAAGTCTCAGATTTGGATGTGGGCAGGGTGGTGTTGCGGGGAATCAGCTTCGTGTTCACACCACCCAAGGTCTCCAGGCCAAGTGACAGCGGCGTCACGTCAAGCAGCACGATGTCCGACACCTCCCCAGCGAGCACCCCAGCCTGAACAGCCGCCCCGAGGGCCACCACCTCATCAGGGTTCACTGAAACGTTGGGCTCCTTCTTGGTCATGGTCTTGACAATCTCCCGCACAGCAGGGATGCGGGTGGAACCCCCCACCAGGATGACCTCGTCGATCTCGGACAGGTTGAGTTTGGCATCCTTCAATGCTTGCTCCACAGGCCGCTTACAGCGGTCAAGGAGGTCAGAGCAGATGTCTTCGAAGCGCGCCTTCGTGATATTGGTGTCGATGTGCTTGGGGCCATCTGCCGTTGCAGTGATGAAGGGCAAGTTGACAGAGGTCTGGGGGAGGGTAGATAGCTCGATCTTGGCCTTCTCGGCAGCCTCTGTCAGGCGCTGGAGGGCCTGGCGGTCGTTACGTAGGTCCATACCTGCAAACACACTATTCGCTGTGACTGAATTTTGTACAAATTTTGGCAATGCACCTCCCAAATGCAGTTTTGGGTGGGAAGCACATCATCATTATGTCGGTGCTTGGCTGCACAATGCTCAACCCACAGACAAGCTACCATGATCACAGTGGTCTGGACTGTGCATTGGGAATTCGAACCTTTTCAGTTTCTACCTTGGCCTAGTTGCTTTTGCCACCTCCAGCTTTTCTGGAATCTGACTTAATTAGAATTATTGCACGTGTCCCAAAATCATACAGTGGTCATACAACAACGCCTACCCTCAGATTTCTGAAAGTCTCCAGCCAGTAGGTTGACCAGTCGCTTGTCAAAGTCATCACCACCCAAACGGGTGTCTCCAGAAGTTGACAACACCTCAAACACACCATCACCAACCTGTACGCACAGAACAAGTCAATCTTCTCTTGGTCGTCAACACAACAAGTGGAGCTCCCGCTCCTGCCAAGCCTAACAACATTTTCGATGTGCAGGGGGTTTGAAATGTTATGTGGCACTGTGACGCAATCCATTCTGAGCAACCACTTTAAGGAATACACAGATGGGCCAATGCATATAAGAAATTTGAGATAACTGTGCGTAGCGGGACTGACCAAGCATGACAAGGACTTATGTCAAGCTCGGCTCTAAATGGGACCAAAAATCGGCATAGTGCATAATAAATCTGGAAAGAAAAGCACAAAGAAGACAGGACAGGAAAAGAATCATACTGACGATTGTTTGCACTCTAGCAACCAGCAGCCCCATGCTCCCACCTCCAATATGGAGACATCAAAGGTGCCACCACCCAAGTCAAAGACCAGTATCGTCTCATTAGACTTCTTGTCCAGGCCATAAGCCAGCGATGCGGCCGTGGGCTCATTGATGATCCTCAGCACTTCCACACCTGCGATCTTCCCCGCATCTTTTGTGGCCTGTCTCTGGGAGTCGTTGAAGTATGCAGGCACAGTGATGACAGCCCTTTCGACCTTGTCGCTGAGAAACTTGCCAGCATCTTCCACCAGCTTCCGCAGCACCTGTGCAGAGATCTCCTCCGCCGCAAACTGCTTGCCCGCATTGGGACAGTCCAATTTCACATTGCCATTGGCGTCCTTTATGACCTGTGTGTGGGAGCAATACCACACTGGTTTCATTCACCAGAATATGACAAATCACTCTGTTTGCCTTAAATCAAGGAGTATATGTGAAAGCAAATTGCAGGGTAATTCACTGAATGTTGCGTCCATCAAACTCCACTTGTCCATTTCCTACCTTTGTTACACTTTTGATTCCAAACGTGTTGTAAATGGACAAAAGCTGTCTTCGCACAGGCACTGCTACCACCAACATTTTCTGCCTACAGCAATTGTTCAAGCGCGTCCCCTGTTGCCCACCTTGTAGGGGACTTGCTTGGCCTCGTCCTCTATCTCATCCATCCTCCTGCCAATAAATCGCTTCACAGAATAGAAAGTGTTCTCTGGATTCACCACGCCTTGCCTCTTAGCGATCTGTCCAGCCAAACAGACCCATGAATCAGGTGTCCCTTACAGCAAGAACTGCAATTGTACAAGTTCTGCTTCTTGGAACTGGTTCCCAATTGTTCCATTTAGTTGTGGTGAGATACCTCTTGCCCAGCTAACAGCCAATGAGCAGATGAGTCGCGCTAGCATGGTGGCTGCTCCCAGGTATGCAGGTATGCACAACGGTAATGATGCCAGCAGAACATGCTCGATTCTCTGTCCTTTATGTAGGCAGGTGGCTGAATATTTTCACAGGTTTTTATCAAGTGCATGTCAGTCCTTTCAGTCCAGTTGCCCTGCACTCGGATGTCAGGGCACCTGCATATTCTGTGTGCTCATAGGATGTGGGTATTAGGGTGCTTGCTGCCAAGCATGGGGAGGTCTATGAACAGCAATTCTTGGTACTCGTCCATTCAAAACAGATAAGCACGCTTCCAGCAGAATGCTAACAAGTTTGCTAGCCCTTTTGATCGTGTGGCAATATTGGTTGCTCTAGGTTACTGCCTCCCAGAATACCCACTCTAAGTGACTGAAAGCACAAAAGACAGTTGAAGCACTCAGTGCAACACCAGGCAAAGAGGAAATACTGGTAGCCCTCTTGGCACAGAACTAAAAACAATGCAGTTCATTAATGCATGTGTCCATTTGCAGCACACGACACTCAGGTCACAATGTCTTACTGAACTCAGATTTTCACACAACAACAGTCATTCTGGGGATGTACAAATGCCCTCACTATTCTTGGGATAACATTTGCAACAAAAATTTTGGAATCGAAAACAAAATAAAACTCACAATGCTTGGCAGTCACACCATGGTCAAGACCTATGGACAAACAAGACAATTTCAGTGGTCGACATTGCCGGTTTTTCAGCACTTAAGTTGTGACCCTCACACCAGGCCAGTATTGCACGTGATCAACAATATTTGAATTTGGCAAAGCTGTACGTTCAGGGCCTGGTGCATCGGATGCTCTTTTGTGAGAGGTAGAATAATTTCAGGAACTTCCTAAACGTGTCCTCAATCTACAAAATTCTGTCCCTTCCATCCTGTGTGTCAGTCTTTTGGAGCCAGGCTTGAGCTTGAGTGGCAGAAAGACCCTATATCTCCTAGTTTGGACTGGGTTGGCACCCGACCTCCAAAATGCAATGCAACATTCTGAACCCAACAACACAAGGAGCCACCCAAGCACCCATATGGCCCTCCCTCCTTCCCAGACACCCCCACCCCACCCCACCCCCCGTGTTCCCAGCACAACGGCTTCTGCGAAAAGCTAATGGAGGGACATGTTGCCGGATGCAGACAAAATTTGTGGCCATGCCCGTCATCGCCTGCAAGGTGACCCTCTTTCAAAGGCAAACATTGTCAAAGCAGTTTCGCATCATTCCCGCCATTTTCCATCATAGGACCTCCGCCGAGCAGGAAAGCTCCCCACCGCCCGTGGCTCCCCCAATCTGACCTGCCCGACCAGCCGGTCCCCCGCCTTCGTGAACGCCACCACCGATGGCGTTGTGCGCGCGCCCTCCGCGTTCGTCACGATCGTAGGCTTGCCGCCCTCCATGGCCGCCACTGCCGAGTTGGTCGTCCCTAGGTCAATCCCCACCACCTGGCCGCGCAATCGCCCGTCATGCCACTGCCCCCCTCACGTGGAATCAGCATTCCCTTCCCCGCATTTTGTGCCATGCACACGGTGCAGCGAAACTCTGGCGACAACTCAATCCGGGAACTATTTCCAGGGCCACAAGACTTGCACAAAGCCACACAAGGAAGGAAGCGAGATCGAATGCCGCCCCACGCGAGATCATGATCAAGTGACGGCCGTCCGGAGCGGCCGCGCCGATCCTCCAGAGCGCCGCAACGGCCAGCCCAACCAGTCGGGACCCATTCACCCGCTGATCCCCGCACAGCTCGCGCATCCTACCTTCTCGCATCGGACGTTCACGGCACGCAGCCGCGAGGCCATGGGGGAGAAGCAGTTCCTGGGCCGCGAATGGCCAGGCGTCACAGCGAGATAGTCCGCCATCTGCCGGCGCAGGCCCAAGGATCCCGCGGGAGCGGGGCGCCGCCCGGCGCCCGCCGCGGCGCCCGTCAGACCGGCCATGGGGGGCGCGCCCTGCAGGCCTGGGAGGGGAGCTGTCGCCTGTTGGGTGCCGGCTGGGGGTATTGCAGACGGGGCGAGGGTGGGGATGGAGTGCGGGAGGGTTGAGATGTACAGGGTGGGAGGGGTTGGGAGTCGCGGGCCCAGGCAAGGGCGCCTTCCGGAAGTTTCCATGACGGGCGCGTAGGGCATTGCGGGGAAGGGGCGCCGGGATGGTACTATGGGATGATCGAGGGAAGGTTGAGAACGAATGAGAGGGTCCCGTGTAGTTAGTGGGGCAGTTGGACGGAGCTGCGGTCGAGGTGGGAGAGGAGGTGTGAGGGGGATGGGTAGCGGGTAGGGACACTAGGAACGTCGGCGGGCGGACGGGTCCAGGGCCCTGGCCTGGAGGTTTGTGACGGGGGAGCTGGGAGGTAGCGGTGTTAGTTGTGGGATCAGAGCAGTAATGGGAAGGTCGTGGGATTCCATTCGGGGAATGGCCAAGCCAGAATAGCTGGGGCGGCCGGTGGAGTGTTCCTCTGAGTTGGCAGCCTTCGGACGGATCGGCCTGCCAACTTCCATGAAAAACGCATGATGTGATCGATGCTTATAAGCAGCACATTGTGTAAGTGTCAATTGGGGTTCATGCCGGAGCCATCGATGGTGAAGGCGAGGGTCAGCAACCAGGGTCATGACTGCACCACTGGGCACCCACAGAGGGGCGGGCTCGCAGTGCTGCAATCCGTTTGCACTGGCTTAACAGCATCCACTTATAGAATGCGTGATTTCTGTGCACTTTCCAATGGGGCATCTATTGGGGCACTGTGTGTCGGATTGCTGGTTGCACAGCAATTTCAACGCCCCATTTTTCACTGAGGGACCAGGGAACGAGCAGCGCAGGAATGGGGATTTCAGCTGTGGAGACACGGGCTGTAATTGGAGACACAGGCAACTTTCCCTGGGCAGAAACATTCGCTAGGGACATTTCTTCGCACACCATCGAGTGCTCAAAAATCTTTCCCCGAACACTTTTTGAGGAATACCCAAACATTATACGGAGCCACCATAAATAGTTGTCCAGTGAGGGATTCACATGGTGTCATGAAACCCGTTTAAGTAGCTGTCGTCTAAGGGTCATATAATACGATCGGAATACGAATCATATGCAGATGCAAAAAGCCAAAGGGTCCCTTCTGTGAAAATATCAAAGCTCTTTAGCCATCCCAGTTTCAGATCCAGCTCTCTCAATCGTTGCAATCAAATGTATGTACCAATGGGCCACAACGCAGCACAAGTCAAATCCTTTTGGTTTCGTCCTCCGTGGCGCTCCTCAAACACACTTGCCGTGCTTGGTCGGAGAAGCAGCCAAGTCTCAACTCAAGTTGCTCGTGGCTTCTCTTGATTTGATTATAAGACAAGACTGCGGTTCTCTTTAAATACCAGAGTGTGCCTCTTTTTTCACCCACCAGAACTCACACTCACAACACCGGACTGAACTCACACTTTACACATGCACAGCACACGACCCCACAGCACCGACCCACAGCTCCAACTCACAGCACCAGCTCACGATTACCAAAACCATTAGTAGATTGGCAGCTGATTGCGGGGCAACCGTCCTCCCGCCATCTCAATCAGGTCGATGAGTGCACCACTCAGGCAGCGCATGACCAGCTGCTTGCACAACATGGCAGCTGCGGCCATCTTGGTGCGTCAGATTTTCACCTCTTTATTTTGACTCCCATTTCTGTATTCAATTTTCTCATTGAATTTCACCGCACATCGGTATTCGGCCACCGACCTTCAATTATGCGAACTGGAAGTTGCAAATGAAGCACCAAGAAACAGTGACAGCCATGCAATTATAGTATTGATGGCATTCCCTGAAATGAGATTCTGGGATGCCATAATTTGAACTCAATCGTCAGATTACGAATTGGTAAATGACGGAACCAGCTTAGTGGTCAATTACCAGTAATTCAAGCAACAAAGATATCGGCTTAGTGCCGATAAATTCAACGCTAATGTGGAAAGAAATCTTCAACCAGGGCAAAATACACCTCGCTCGCCCGCACGTGTCTCAGCTGAACTTGCCTGGAAACACTGCGTTGGCTCACGCCGCACTGAGCGCCCCGATGATTCAGAGTAATATATAGCCTTCACGTGAATTTCACGGAACTGTCGTATTGCTATCATATGTTTGCTATGCCCTGCAGATCATTAAAATCGCATTTTTTGCCGTTCTAAATTTACATATTGCTACTTCTTGCCCTTTTTGTCCACATTTATGGGCCTTATTTTGATCAAATTGTCTCCTTTCCTCGCGATTGACTTTGCGACGCGCGCCTGGAGGTTTTCCCTGGTAAGGGGCTTCTCGTCATCAATGACCTCGATGTCGCTGTCGTCCAGATCGTCTTCTTGGGTCGAAGGGGGCTCGATGGCAATCCTCGATCCAGGGCCAGCCACTGTGGCCTGTCCCAGGATGGCATGCAGGTGCTCCGATGTGCATCCCATCTTGATCTTGAGATGAGCGTAAATCTGTACATTATTGCACAAACGAACAGCTCAGCAAATCGGAAAGCTAAGGGTCGATGGCAATCGCCGCATCTTACTTGCAAAATTACAAGATTGTTCACACGATTGCGTACTTCAGGTGATGACAATGCGCAACAAGCCGAAATTTCCGTCAAGTGGATTCTGTAGATTAATTCAAACATATCTAGCAGATTGACTGAATTGGTCTGAAAGTTGGTATATAATGCGGCGCATTATTTGCATCAATGTTCCACCTACCTGTGTGTTAAATTCTGAACGTTGCATGACTGTAAAGGCTGCGTCAAGCGCCAAGGTGAGCACAATTCGTCCAATCCTGAACATTTCATGTGGGACATGCACTGCCTGCTGCTGCGCATTATCCGTAGGAGCAAAATGAGAATTCAACATAATTGTCACTCTCTCTGTGTAGAGGGGGGTCATGTGCCCGGGCACAAGGACCTTGGGAACTACCCGGGAGCCCATTTGAATAACTCAAGGCTCCTTTCCTCTCCATCTGCATTCAAATTTTGAGAGAAAATGGGATAGAAACGGCAGCAAAAATTCAGGAGTTTTCGACGCCTATCATTCGTTGTCTTTACAGCATCACTCATTTCTCCACGTCTGGACAAGGACCGACTGTTGGGACCTCATTTGCCCCGTCGCCGCTTGTGCGCTCTTCTCGCGTCGTACTCCATGGGATTGGTTGAAAAAGTGGCTGCAATAGCGGCGGCGTCGGGGTTTCGAAAATATATCAATTGCATGGCAAACCGCTGCGAAAGGCGATTCGAGATCGTTCGAGAGCTGCTCGCCTGCGCCATAAAACCGCAGCCGGTCCTGGGCCACGCGCCCAAAGTACATTTTGGGTGTGCCGTGTCCTTCGCGCATATCTCGCGCCGCCGGACAATCGCAATATTGCAGGCGTCGTAGGTTTGTGCTCAGCGCGTAGATAGGTGGCTTTCATCATGAATGGCGTTCAAGTGATGAAATATTATTTAAATGCAAAGCACGAATGGACATAAACATACTTTCCGGAAAAAATCGAGCACGCTTAGCGCCAATTCGACGCCAACATCGGATACCAGTCCCTTCTTCCCCAACTTGAACCTTTACGTAGATGCACGGATGACTCAGCAACACTGCCAATGGAGCTGCGCAACATCAACGTGTCTTCAAGTAGGCAAACTACCAGAGTGGCAGCGACAGTGGGGGCGCTTGAAAAGGGTATTTCGAAAACCACGACAGGCGATTAGAGCAGCACCGGAGGCTGTCAAGTGAACTGCCTGGTGGATCTTCTTCAAAAAAAGGGGATTTGGAACCGTCATGGCCTTTTTGGCGCCGATCAGCGGCTCTTCGTTTTGTTCTCAGCTTAACTCGATTTCGTGACAATTTCCCAGATTATCAGCGTCACAGGTCCAGACCTCTCCCCCCTTAGCGCCAAATTGACGCTAAGCGAACCAACTCGACATAGTATCTTCCCTTGTAGTCACAAAAGGCGGCAACTGGCCAAGCACGTTGCCTACTGCGTCGACGCGCGGAGCGCCAGCCCAGTCCAGGCCAATCCGCGGCCACGCACCTGCAGGATCTCCGCCGCCCTCAGTTCGATGATCCCAAGGTACTGCATAAGGTTGCCCTCCGTGATGCCGCCGTCCCCCAGCACCTCACTAACTGCCGCCGTGTTGCACCCCAAGTCGTTAAACGTCTTCCAGATGTGGCTCTTCAGCGATGCCACCGCGCAGGAAGCCACGTCGTGGCTGCGCTCGTACTGGTCCGCCCGATCCTCGGTGTGCCGCAGGCGCTCCTCCAGGTCCTTGAGGACGGCCTTGCGCTGGTTGTCGCAGCTCAGGCCCCGCCCTTTGTACACCTCTATCTCCGAATGTACCTGTTGGGTTACGGGCCAAAGCAATGCTAATATCCGGTGGCGCCCTTCGAGCAAAATTTCCGGCAGTCGAGTTGCTAAGAGCAAACGCAGTGGAGCGTTCGACCAGCGCTTTGTTGTACATATGCGGCTCTTCGTTCACATTTGTTGGACAAAATTTTCTGAAATGTTTTCATGCGTTTCCTGGTGAATGCGCCCAAGCGTTCTGCTGATTGAATTAATGAATTGGAAAAAGAGGCCGCTGTACTCTTTGTTACTGTCCCAGATCAGAAGCGGAGAATGGATTCACGAGGAGTGCGAAATTCCCAAAGTTGCGCGATTTGTGCCCATGTGACGCTTTCGATCAACGATGAGGAACATTTTGAAAAACTTTGTGCATCAAGCTGGTGGACACGCAATGCAAGGCAGCATACACCGCCAAATCACATGCTATAACTTTATATTACCTCCGATATCTGTTCCTCCAATTTCTCAATCTCTTGGTTCAGCTCGTTCACGTAATTCAGAAGTGTGAAATTCTGGTCCTCGGCGCTGATTATTGTGTTCACAAGCTCGTCGATGTCCTTGATGCCTGGGAGAATTCAGCATGCGCAAAATCCGGGAATTCAATGTTGCCAAGATCACATGTGAAATCCAGTTATTTGGCTTGCTTCTAGGCCCTGCAGTCCTCCCACAGAACATGAGCATATACCGGGATTGGTGAATTTGCTTTTCACGGGGGTGAATTTTGCGCTTGACCAACAGGGGAAGGGAGCGAATAGGGATTTCGCGAGCCGCTGCAAAGCCATGTGGCTCGCCTGTCGTCGCGAAGATGTGCTTGCAGGGTTTTCCATCGTCATTTATGGCATAGGCATGGCGAAAACACACAAGAATCATGCAAACCACTAGCAGATTTTCTCGCATTTAACTAGCACAAAATCAGAATTTTGTTTCAGAAACAGGTAAAGCACGGGCCCAGGATGGCTTCCTAGAAATCTCATTTTTATCACTGGCGAAAAAAGAACCAAATAACACATTTGTGAACACTCGTAAAACGCATTTCATCAAAGTTCTGCACGGTAAGAACCCAAAAAAACCCAAACCCGTAAACTTTGCAGACGTTTGAACACGTGCTACTTGGCATTTCTTTTCCTGGTGCATGGCATACACCCGGCGGGTAATTTGAAACAGATGGTATTAGCTTTCCTGCTGCAATCAGTGTCCAGACAAGTTGATGTGTTTCAAACCCATCAATTTGTGCAATTCCCAATCGCAATTTAATTGAATAAGTGCAGAAAAGAAGTTACAGGAAGCAATCTGCAATGCCGCGCACATGTTGCAGATATGTGACCCACTTGGAAAATCCATCGCTGCAACCTCGGAACAAACTTCTGTCAGTGATCCGGGCATTTCCAACCTGTCGCCTGCTGGATCATCTCGAATGCCGCTCCGAATTGCTGCACCTTCTCCATTGCCATGTTTTGAGCCATGGCTTGCTTTCCGGCGACGTTCCAGGCGCCCCTGACGGCCTTCTTCCTCACCTGGACTTCGTGGTCCCTTGAGCGCAGCAGTTCCTGCGTCTTTCGCTCGCGCTCCACCATCTCCTTCATTCGCTGCGCCTCCTGCATCCGGGAACGCCGAAAGGTTGCGGGTCACAGGCGATTGTTCTTCTTCTACAAATAAGTGAATAAGATTGTAGAAAATATTAAAAGATTGGAAACGGCAGCACATTTGAAGATGCTGCGCTCTCAGCTTGAAGTGATCATATGCAAACGAATGCAGTTCATTCCGACCACAAGGGTGCAAGGAACAGCCAAAATCGACATTTTTTAGCGTTGTTAATGGTTCATTTCTCGGCTTTAGAACGAAATGTAAACGAGATTTGAAGCGCTGTTGAGTTGCCCTACCGCTTGTGTTCAGCATTGGGGTTCGTAGCCCTTTTGCGGGAAATAGCCTTGCGCAGCGAACAAGACGCTCCCCCACCCCACTCCCACCCGCCCGTCCTCCACGTGTTTGGATGGCATGAATTGCAAGGTCAGTGCAACGCGACTCGCTCCATTTCTCTCACGCTACGTCAATGCACCGCTGCATTAATAGCAATGGTAGTTCCCGCAATCATCGATTGCACACTATAACGCACACGACAAATTATAAAAGGCGGCCAGCTTTCGGCCTGATCGGCGCACCCTGGCCTTCCTGTCCTCGTCAATAATCTCCGACAGGTGCCTCCACTCTTCCTCGAAGCCCTGCTGCTCCTTGTCCGCCTGGACCTTCAGCTGGCCCATCTCGGCTATGGCCCGCTCCCGCGCGTCGTACGCCGTGTTGGCGGCCTCCATGATGGACGCCATCTCGCGCTTCAGCTTGTGCAGCTCCTTGTCCAGGCCGTGGTTTATGTTCTCGAACATCATGCGCTCCCGGCGCAGGTTGTCGATCATTTCGCGCAGACGCTTGTTTTGGGTAACGCCCTGCACTGGAGTGGAGCAGGACATCGCGTCACTGTGTGGGCCCCTGGTCGTCAGTGAGATGTTTGTCGTGGCATGCAATATCGGCCTCGTGATTCAGGCAACATTGACAGGAGCGCACTAGCAAACTCGTTGCAGCAAGTCAGTGAGATGTTTGTCGTGGCATGCAATCTCGGCCTCGTGAGTTGAGCAACATTGACAGAAAGCGCGCTAGCAAACTCGTTGCAGCAAGTCCCACAGACGACCTTGTTAGCCGATCTCAGTTTCCGTACGTTGTTTTTACTCTCCTTTCACGCATTCTTTTCACCACTCTCTCGCAAGAATAATGGCAGTAGGTTTTGTAATTTACAGTATTTGTACCACTTTCCCAAAAAGTTGCTGCAGCTCTTTGGGCCACCCGACTAGCGGTCATGTTGCGCGCCACTCTGGTAGGGAGGCGCTCTGCCGCACACCTCGTTGTACTTGACGTACGCCTTCTCCAGCCTGTTCTCCAGTATTTTGATCTGCTTCTGCAGCGCGCGGTCGCCCTCCCGCGCGGCGTTGATTCCGCCCATCTTGCGCCGCTGCGTGATGATCTTGGACTGGCAGTCCTCGATCCTTTGGTCCAGCATGCCGATCTTTCTCCTCTCCAGCTCGATCTTTCAGGGAAGCTAAACTCACCGTCAGCAATCCTGCCACTCGATTGGCGAGAATTCTTGCCGCCCTGGACGACGACTTGAAATTATGTCTATTGCGAATGGCTGTAAACTGAACGACAAGGAAGCTCTTCATTTCGCGTGCATTGAGAGGAGAAAATCGCAGCGCTAATTGATTCAATTGCAACTGAAAGAGCACCACGTTTTTCCTGTAGTATCTGGAATTCCGTAGGCGACGTAGTATTTTACATTACCTCATTTTCTTTTGAATATATTATCATGCAGAATGCCCATTCCTTGCATAACATAATACTGAGTTGGTGTCAGCGAGGAATTTTGTCGAAGCGCATGGTGTTGGGCACGCAAAATAGTCATTGCAAATCCCCGCTTGTCACACGCTGGAAACCGAGTGGCACGATTTGTGCCAGAACGTGAGACGAATCGCGGAATGGGCGGCGCACCAACCTTTCTTGTGTATAAATCCGCCTCATCTTGGAGTTTGCATATCTGCATTGCCGATGCCGCGTTGGCGGGCTGGACACAGAACTTGTTCTCCAGGAGGAGCTCCTCCTTGAGCTTGTTGTTGTCCTCTCGAAGCTTGTCTATGGCATGCCTGCTCTCCACAAAATGGAGACAACACACTTTCAGCACAACGCGCTGGCTAAACACGGATCACAGAACCTTTTTTGAAAATTGTAATTCGAAGGCTTCGTGGGCAAAACCAATGCCAAGCAGTGCCAGAATTTGCTTTTTTCATGTGCAATTATCAAAATGCGCAGAAAAGAATTTGCGTCGACACAAGGAAGATTACCTGATGTTCATTACACTTTTGATTCGCATAAGCAATTCGCGGGCGAAGTGACCCTGTTCGACCTCGAACGCCAGTTGGCAATTGAAAACAAAACCCGATAGCGCCGGGGCACATTCAGCCTAATTTGAGAATCTTGCAGTCAGAGGGTTAAACGCTGTGCTAATACCCCATAGCTGCTTGCAGCATTTAACACAGTTTCCCAGATTTGCTGGTGAATATTGTTATACGCTTCCAGCTTGTACACGGGAAGCGAATGGAGCACTCGAGAAAAACGAAATCGGGGTCCGTGTTCAGACAGAACTTGCCTCTGTTTGGAGGCAACAGAAGTGTGGGACAAGCTGTCCTTGAGCTTCGCCGCCGGCTTCATGGCGACCACCCCTCCTGTACAGCAACTCGCTTTGTTCAACGGCAATGGGGCTTTGATGGCAGATCCATTTGAAGATCATTTCGATGACATGAATGTGACCATCGACCGAGTTCAGCATTTTCTACCAGATGCCAGGTCCAGAACTCTTGCTTTAGTGGCTCACTGACACCTCCAGATATCGAGAATTCTTTCGTGTAGACTGGGAACAAAGGCTTCTAAGTATTGTACTTTGCCCAGCCAGGAACCGCAGCATATAGCAGTACTTTGATCTGACCATTTAAATCGAACGGGTGTTGTCGCTCAAAACACTAGCTTCAAGGACAGAGATTCCCCATGTTCGACAACAAATCCAAAATCGCGTTTCTGAAAATTTGCTCACATCATAGCAGCGCGCGATGTGGGGAAAGAAAGAGTCAGTTGTCGATGTGCTCCAACGGGCGCTCTCCCGTTCGACTTCTATAGATGCCGCGTTCCTTCACTTCAAAAAAATGCAACTGGGGCGTGCTGTGCGTTGTGTTTCGTTCCCCCTCATCACGCAGGGCGCCACTCTCAGCAAGAAAGGAAGGACAACGTGCAACGCCATGGCCAGGACAAATAAAGCAGCGTTGGAAAGCCAACTCAGGGTGGCGTCATCTCTTCGCCCATTCCGCAGACACGCCGTTTCCCCTCCAAATCAATCCCAAACATTGGCTTTTCGGAGCCAACAGGCTCCGCTGCTGCTTTTGCCACAGGCCTGGCGAGCTGCTCGCAGGATGGCTCCGGACCGCCTCGACTCCTCCGCGACACCCCCATGCGCCTCGTCCCACACATTGCTACGGTTCGTCCACAGCTTAGTTTTTCGTTTGTGCGTCCGGATGTTTCCCACGGATTTGGATTGTTTCCTGCCGCACAGCTCCATGCTGTACTGCTTAATTCCGTACACCTCAGCGCCGTACCGCATTGTACTGCTGAGCTCAAGATCCGGTAGTGGACGCAAACCCAACTTCCCCTCCCCCCCTATCCCTCCACACGTCTACAGGACACAGTCCTATGTATCGTTGTCTTTGAATCTGCTTTGCCAGGGCGGGTGCTCCAGGCCGCACGCGGCCGAGGTCTGACTGTCCGTCACAATCGACGACCAGCGTTGACCGGCGCCGGCGGCTGCGCCGCGTGTCGGCTGCACCCGAGCTCACCTTCTCCCGGTGCCATGGCCGCTCCTTCCGCCGAGGCGTCCTCAGGGCGAACAATTGGTGTCGGCGGAGGTCGGGCTGGGGTCGGGCCGCGGGGCTGGCATCAGCTCTGACGGTTCAGCTGGGAGGTCTCCGGCAAATAGGCAAACGACAGATATCTTTCTTCTTTTGTTTTGCGGGTGGGGCTGGATAGGTGTGCAGCAAGGGCCTGGGTGCGCGCCGCGACCCGGTTCCCGCTGTCGGAGCCTTCAGGGGCGTTGCGTAAGGGCTCCTTGCCTTGATGTGCGGTGTTTCTCGATTGACTGATGTTGGGATTTGGTCAGATTGAGGCAGAGGTGATATTAGAAGTGAGCATGTGCAGTCACGCCGGCTCTTGGACGTCCAGTGCAATGCGCCGCTGGAAATGAGGCGACACAGAGAGGAAATTCGCTGCAGTTTTCGATGCTCTTGCGTTGCCTCTAGGTTTGCCAAATTGGTTTGTGAACCATTTTGTGCTTCATGTGATTAATGTACGCCCTACTGAGTGTCGCAGTTCCTCCTGCATGTCGCAACGTCAATTCCCTGGCACTGGGAACATGGCCAGGGAAGACAAAAACAAATCAATCAAGAAATCTTGCATTCCAGGACGAGAAGCACATAGCACAGCGGACCGCATCATGCGCTGCTGTCTCTTCCCCTGCAGCCCAGCCTTCGACGAGGGATCATATTCCAGCATTGCAGTGCAGCCACTGCATCGCCAACGACTGCCGCTCCTGTCCAAGTCATTTCTAGGTAGGGCACAATTTGATCGCCAAGGGAAAGCCAAGCATGCGCCTCAGCCCAAGGCGGCCACCAACTCGCTCCCATGAGAGCGAATGCGCAGGACCAACATATCCAGACCAACACGTCGCCGTTCTCAACGCCTGCGCATGCAAAGTAAATCCCGACTTGGCCCTGCGATTGCTTGAGCAAACCCCCGCTAATTTCGGCAAATGCGGCGTCCTTCAGCGCCCCGCAGTCGCCGGAGCGGAGCTCCGCCGCCATGTGCCATCCGCAACGAAAGAATCGACAAGAAAAGCGTTCCCCTCTCTGGGCCCCAGGGACCGCTGTGCTCCCGGGCCCAACGTCGCCCGCGCGGAAGGCGCAGGGCCCCCGCCTGTGCACAGTGGCACAGGCGGGCCACCAAAACCAATCCCCTGGCGTCCCAGCCACTGCCCAGAAAGCGGGGCGCCCGTCGCCGCCTCGTGGGCGCGACAGCGGCGCAAAGCCTCCCCCTTCACAACCGCAGCGACGCGATCGACACACACAAGGCACGTCCCCCATCCGGGCCCCGGCCAGCGATGGGATCAACACATCACGTCCCGAGCCCCACACGCCCTCAATCAAGGCCCTACATCGCGGCCAGCGGGAAGTCGATCGCCGCTTCACCGCCCCGCCGTGATCGCCGCCGGCATGACATACACCTCCTCTCCCTCCACGTCCACCCAACTACCGAACCGCAGCGCCGCCACGCGCACTGCCGGCAGCCTGCTCACGCCCGCGCCGTACGGCACCGCCCTCCAAGCCACCCGTCCCGCCTGCCCCGGCAGCACCGTCAGCGTGCTGCTCTTGGAACCGCTCAACAAAAACCCCTCACTGTCCCTCACCTCCACCTTCAAATCCTCGGGCTGGCTGGAGTGGCTGGAGAAATCCAAGGTGTAGGAGAACGGCTGGCCGGCCGCTGTCTTGGGAGGGGGGTTGGAATCCACTGTGAGGAGGGGTCGGGCGGCGTCGATGCGGGGCAGGGGGAGCAGGCAGGTGACGGCGGGGCCCGGGGGGCTGGCGGGCGCGGAGGCGTCGTCGTCCTCGTCGAGGCTGGATGCCATGGAGGTGAAGCTCATGGCCGAGGCCAGGCTGGCGCCGATGCTGATGGAGGGCACCAGGCCCAGCTCCATCTGCGGGGGGCCGCCCACGAGCGAAGGCGTCAGTCGCCACATTCCGGGATGCTGCTTTCGACACTCGGCATTCAGCGCCTGTTTAGTTTTTCTTCTTTTAGGATACCGACAGCTGCTCCTTGCCTCAGCATGTGGAACGTTATGACGACTTAGTGTCCGTTTAATCTTGAGCGATCAATGATGAAATCTTAGCCCTGCGCTTGATACCAGTTTTCGCCGGCTGAAGCCATCGACGCAAAGTTGGGCCCAACGGCCCTGCGTCACGCCCAAATTCGACGACGATTGTCACCGCAGCAGAAAAGATACGCGCCACACACCCCTCGCGAGCAAGAGCTCCATAGTGAGCCTCGCGTTCCCAAAAGAACATCGAGAAATCGCTATGAGACGCAGGCCCCACCTGCTGGCACCTCCGCCACTTTATCTCCAGGCTGCCGAGCTGAAGGCCCTCCACAGGGCGCTGCACGCACAGCCTGAAGAGCATCGTGTGCCGATCGCCCTTCCGGACGGTCGTGCTCGGCGGCGCACTGCACACCGACGACGCCTAACACAGGAAGCGACAGAGGCCGCTAAGTTTGAGTCATCCAGGGTCAAAATTAGATGCCCTGATTCCAATTCTGAGGGGAGCTGCTTGCAAACAGAATACCTCGGGTACCTTGGACTTCATTTAACACCCCATAGACATCTTTCTCCGGCAAAACAGGAAACGACGACCAGCTTCTTCACACGATGTGCAAAACAGACTGTCCCAAATGCGAGAAGCAGAACACCTTCCAGAGAGGGAGCAGGAACCAGCACTTCAAGTGCCATTGGTACCATTTAAGCAAGCATATCGAAGACATTGTGACAGATATATTGAATTCGAACACGGGGTTAACTTGTGTAGAACTGTTGTGCACATCACCTCTAGTCCTTCGCCCTCAGGCACCTTCCACTGCACGTCCACCAGCCTCAGCTGGCAGGGCGCCATGGACTGCAGGCAGGCCGTCAGAAGCACCGGGCGCCCCACTGGCAGTAGCGGTGGCGGCGGGGCCTCGGGCCTGGTGCCCAGGCCGCCGACGGCCTCTTGGAGGGGCCCACCGGGCGGCAGGAGGGGCATGAGGGTGTAGCTGTGGGAGGTGGTGGCCAGGTGGGTGGTCAGCTGAAAGGGCAGCTCAAAGGCGACCTCGAAGGTGCGCTCTATGCATCCGGAGGTGGCTAGATGGAGGAACAGGCGAGTGCTGACCTGTGCGACAGGCAGAAGTGAAAGTTGGAACCAAAAGGGCAATGCTTGTTTGTTATTGTTTGTTTGTATGTTTTTGTATTATGTTGGATTGAACACAGCTGCTGAGAATCAGCGACAAGAAGGGGTGCATTTGGACACAGAGGATGTGGCCAAAACGTTAGTTGAACCCTGCAGGCCTTGCCAAACGTGTGGTGGCTGTGCACGACTGTCACTTGCGCATAATGGCAATCAACCTAAATGCGAAGTGATATTAAAAACAGCAACCGGGAACTGTGCGACCCATTCAAGCCAAACACTGTAGCAAGAACAAAAACACAGTGTCCCGTCCACACAAACACACAGCCCGCTTTCAAAAGGGGGGCTTTAGCAGGTGGCAACGTCCGCCGGGGCATACAAAAATGGCGCTTTTCAACTTACACACCAGTCAACAATATGACATACGATATGAATTCATACTCCCTCTTTGATGTACACCGTGTTCCTTGATGCTGTTGGGGTTTTCGCCAGTCATTGTGAGGTCAAGCGTAGACTGCTAGTTCAGCAGAGACACGCGAGATGACCAGTGTGTCGAATGTTCACGGTCCCTGTAAGGATGTTCATTCATTCACCCCCTCTTGCAGAACTCAAGCATTCATCGCTTCATCTACGCTCACCTGGCCAGGGTCCTTCGAACACAGGCCGAAGTCACAGACCCACGCCGTGCCCTTTTCCAGCTTAGTTATCTCCATGGGGCCCTGCACCGCCTCCCCCGTCTCCATCACCACAAGGGCGGGCCGCTCACAAGGCTCAGTGACCTGAGTGATGAAGGACAGGTGGCAGGTACCCATGTTCTCGGGGGCGTCCAGGCGGATGGTCACAGTTGCGGTCTCGCCCACGAGGGAGTACCTCGGGGCGGTGATCTGAGGGGAGGGAACACAGAAAATCATACACTGGCAATATATTCTCTGCTTAACATAGTTTTCTTTGTTTGCATTAGTTTGACACATAAACAAGTATTCAAGTATTTCTGAGCTGGTGAAATTCGTGCATCGCTGGGAAGTTCCCAGTGGCAACATATGAGCTTATAGTTGATCAAAATCTTCAGTTGATTATCAGTAGTTTTGGCTAGGTTTATCTCATCTCAGCCACATGGTATTGTTCGTATTGTGCAGGAGACTGCAGCCAAAACGAGTTCAGTCCAATCGCTGCATCAACTCCCGCACACAGTACCACTTTCTGGGATAACTGTTATGCAACGAGCACTGCCCCAGATGCTGAGGTTAAACTGCCAAAACCATGTGCTCCTGTGAATTCACATGCCAATGGGACTACTTCAGGCATGCCACAGGAAATGGATCCTCCCTTGTGCCTGAACTGCAGAGGTATGCCGCTCTGTGCTTGAGTGTCACCTGCAGCTTTGGTAGGGCTCCCACGTGGTCCACATGGACTGTGCAGAGACCGAGTGCCAGCTCCCGCCCCACAGCGCTCCTGAAAGGTGGGAGCAGGACTCTAGCCTCCGGCCAGCCCCTCTCGTCCCAGGACATTGGCGAGTTGGACAGCCACCACACCACCCTTGCGTGTTGGCTGAGATGGATTATGACCCGATCGGCAGAGATCTCCCCGGCTGAACTGAGCACAGCACACTGCACAGTCAGCAAACGATTGCTCTTCAGGCAGACAGCGTAGGTCCCATTCAAGGAAACATTTCTAATCAAGACTTGGCGAACCATTGGCAATGCACAATGCACATGATGACATGAATCTGTGCCTTGCAAAGAAACCAGCTGTCCACACAGCAATGGCGAAATATGGCAATAAATTTTCACCACCAAATGTGTGAGACTGCCTCATCCAGCATTATGGGCCACATGGACATCAAGGTACCCTATCATACCAGGTGCTTTTTCTTGTCCTTGTGGTAAGCATCCATTCTAACAGCTGCACCTGAACCAAGTTTTACCCTTCATCTGTACGGCTTCATCCATCCCACAACAAATGTCCCCCATGACTTTATACTGCTATTTCTACATTAAACCCTACACTTTGTGTCAATGCAGATATTTAGGAAAAGTTGCAGTGATACATTTGTAGTCTTGAGTGTAGAGGACTGTACAAAATTATACCCCAATTCAAAGCAACTAAAATTTGACAGTGCTCCAACTCGCATGACTTTGGTCAAGTAGAATCAAAATTGTGCAGGTATCCCACCAGTATCTTGGGTCACGTGATGCCACGTGTGCAATCACGCCCAGCATGACCCTGTACATTTGGCTTCTAGGGGAGTCTGCTTGACGCCTCCCCCTGCCATACGACCCAAGATACCCCATAATAGTCTAAAATTGCCACTGTAGTGGGTATCTTCCTGCCGGTGCGGCAGGGCTACCTGTTAAGAATTCGCAACACCGCTTCCTCCGCGCTCCCATGCACTCATCCTGACAAGACAGGGGACATCGGAAACGGGCTCGCAATAGGCTGGATCAGCGATCGCCATTTGATGGCCGATCCTTTACCCAACCAAGCACCTTTTCAGTGATGCAGAAGGGAGCTAAGGAGAGAATCTTTCGTTTTCGAGCTGCTCTTGGAGGTTTTGGCACATGGCATTTCTGAATCTGATGTCTGTTCAAAGATTTGCACTTGTCTGTCCATACATATAGCAATTCCAAATAGCGGACATTGCTGTGGTACAGAAGAATGATATGTTGATTAGCCACAGTACATACTATCTCACATACTAGGATCTTACCCTGGTGCGAACTTCACCCAGTATCTATTCCAACAGCCAGGCTTCAAGCCCGAACTTCCAGAGGTGCTTGTTTCCTCTGGGCCCGCACGTTGATCTGCAGTCCTGGATGTGTCCACCACAGCTGTTGATGAGCCAGGGGGGGTTGTGGGCCTGTAGGTGCCCCAGAACACGGACAACAGCTAAGAGCCTGAAATCAAACTTTGGGCACCATCGAACCGATGCACACCCTGTGCCAAACACAAAACCTCTGCCACTGCTCAGGAAATTCGTCAACAACAAAAAGAACAGCCAACCAGCATTAGTTAAGCAACTGACAGCTGACAATGATCAATTGACAACAACAAACAATACTCTGCAACTCGGAACCACACCACAAGCATGGAACATACTTCACAATTCACAACACTCTGGTGCACACTGCTGTCCTTTGCATTCTTCCACCCATGTACACGTTGGCGGCTAATGGATGTGTGATTGTATAGATAAACATCTGCTGCACAACATTTTACTCATCATTGCCTGCAAACTGGACAGGTATCACCTTCCATCTGCTTTTCATAAAGTCTGGCAAAAGTTGAGGGGGGTGGATGTGCCTACACACACAATGTTCCATTGATATGCTGACTGCTCATCTATCAACAAGGTAAATCATGTTGCTCCACACGAAATGCAAGGAATATCAGCACCACTAACAGAATGCAGTCAAGCAAATCCACCAGCTGCTGTGGAAGCCACACCTTGGCATGGGCATCTCTTCTTCTCTCAGTGCCAGCTCCTTGTGCCGGCCGCCCTCAGGCAGTGCAAATTCCACCTCGACATCGCAGATGGGCAGCTCCGCAGGGAGGTGGCTGTAGAGAGCCAGGCCAAACTCCAGCTGCTTGGGAAGCTCATCAGGAGGAACAAAGCCTGCCGCCAGTGTCAGCAGGCGCCCCCACCCAAAGTCCTGCATCCAAGCGCACAGGTCAGTGCTCCAGTACGCAAAGGCAACTTTTCGTTTTTCATTCCACAATGTGGTGAAGGGATGGAGAGCAGGGTTAGGTATGAAGCACAAAGCTTCGGGCTTGCCTATGTCCACCCTCACTTTTGCCAAGACTCGAGCGTTTCCCTTCTTCTCTTTGTGGCAAGCCAGTATTGGTAGGGTGTTCCTCAAAGCGATCAGGGGAAGCGACATTTCTGGATCAAGGATTTTTGGGTACCAAAAATACGTTGACTGATTATCCTTGCATTAAAACGTGACCATCAATATTTCTACTGCTGCTGTCAAAGCGATGTTGCTAGAATGTCTGTTAACATAGAATGTGAAAACACTTCAGGTGTAGTGCTCACCCTAAGCCCCACACCTAGCAAAATTTTCACAAGTGGACTTCATTGCAATTAACTAATCAGCAATTAACAAGTTACAAACACCATAAAGGGATCACAATCACTCAATTGGCACATGACATTAATGCTGTCATGCCAACCTGCAACAAATGGCAATATTAGGTGACAATATTAGGTAATTTATCTTGGGCATATTGTGAGGAACTTTCCTAATGGGCTGCTGATGGGCTGAAGCCAATTATATCCATTCCATTGGCCCAGCAAGTGCTGGCTGGGGGGCAGATTTGGGTGGAATGAGGACTGCTGTGAGTGTTCAGACATTTCCTGCAAAGACAGCTCAATACAATGGGCACAACAGTTCCAGCCATAAGTTCTTCAATGCTGTAGATTGGTTAGATTGTTGCAGATTCCAGCACAGTGCCATGGACAGCTGTACACTGCTGCACATTGCTTCAAACAGCCACAGACTGCCCATAATTACTCATCTGGCTCCCAGGCAGAGCAAAGAGCTTCAAAACTAGATGCTCAGCAATGCAAGAAAGCAAGCCACGAACCTGGTTGATTCTCATCTGAGTTTTGCCTTTTGCTGGCTGCTTCTGTTCCTGTGCAACTGCTTCTGTCACAAAGTACTCGTACCCGTCGCCCTCCTCAGGGTCCTGTTTCCCAGGCGCAACTGCCTCTGGCACAGGTGGCTTCACAGGCTCAGACATGAGCTGCTCGATCGACGCCTTTGCCATGGTTTCCCTCTGGTGCATGTCAAGCACCTTTGGGATGGAGGCCAGCTCAAGAGAGTAGGTGATGTGCTCTCGAGTCAGCCCCAGCAGGTGTGCACATTCCCGCAGGCGGGCGAGGCATGAAGCCAATGGTTGTTCCCACCCGTCCCTGTGCAAGAACAGTGGCGGGTTGTTTTATGTGAATGTCACCATGGGCAGCAACACAAGAGCTAGCCTCCTTTTGGTTTAGGGCCAGAATCAGATGCCTCCTAGCACACACCACCCAGGCGCTATTCAATACTACTCTGGCAGCCAATTGGGTGTTTGAAGGAACATGGGAAAAACCAATCCTGCGATGCCACACTGTTGCAGTGCACTTGCTGCTCAACGTCGCCAGATGGGTCAGAGGTCTTGCATTTGCCATGCTTTAAGGAAAACAGGAGCACAGAATTGCAACCCATCCAGACTGGCTCCCTGGAGCCACAGCCTGGCCCTACTGCTGCAAACGTTTTTTACACAGATGCACAGGTGTAGGTTTTCAGGTTCTTCGGTGCACAGGATGCACTGCACCAATGACCACTTTCTGCTTTGTTTGGTAGCTTGTTTTGATTCCGCATTTGTTTGGCTGCTTTCCCCTGGCCAACTGACTTCACATGGGAAACAACGTGCCGAACAGCATCTTGGGCAAAGGATGTACACTGCAAAACACAAATGCCCCAGTTTCCTATCTTGTTTCAATCTTGATGGGCTTCAAACAAGTGTGAACAGTGCGTGGACAAGTGTGGACTTGTGAACAATGCATGCCATACTCCCAATGAACAGAGACATGCACATCAGCTTCTTTGCTTAACAGAATGCCTCATAGAGCTCCCACTCAGAAATGGGCCCCTAATGGGCAGCTGGTTGTCATTCTGTTGGAAAACTGATCCTGAGCCAAGAGTCCAGCTGACAAAGTCTTTGACGATTCCGAAAATCGAGCCAGGAGCAAGGCCAACATAAACAAAGGAGCCAACATGAACGTGAAACCGGTCAACAACAGTCACCATGGGCTCTCAAACTGTGCACTCTTGATTGGAACCACCAAAAACTGCAAAAGGCACAGGATCTTCTGCAGGATACGCAAAGCTTGGAAAAAGAACACACTCCACACAGCCCAACCATCCCCCAAACCTTCTGTAAGCAGGTGACACCTGCAGCAGCAGCTTGTACGCACTGTCTGGGTCATTTGCAGCCAGGTGCTCCCGTGCCATCAGCACGCCCAGGTTGTAGATACGCCGGTCAGAGCCACCTCCACGATACAGCTGGAAGGCGCGGCGCAAAAGCTGCAAGGAAGCCTCTGTAAGTGGACGTTCAGACTCCACGGAAAGGAGATAGGCATCCAACTCGTTGTCTGCCAGATCCCTGTTTGGGACACCCAAACCACTGTCAATGCACCATCAACAGGCCTCGAGAGCCTGAAATTGGTCTGTTGCCTTGACACCAGCTTCTGTTGCAAAATTGTGTACCTGTCTATTCACTTGCCTTTTCAGTTACATATGTTTTTGTTTGTTGCTTGTATGTTTGTGTTCAACTGCACATTCACTCAGGTTTAAACAATGCAAGTGAAGAGGTCCAGAATTGAACAAGAAACAGGAAGCCCACTGGTAGCGAGTTGCAGTGAGCAATCCCTGCATTTCCCACCACACAACTGCCACAGTGACACCGCCAACAAGGACAATCCTAGTCCCATGATGTCCAGCAATCCATGGCAGTAGCTGGACATGACCACCAGCAACTTCAGAAAACCACAGTGCTCAGAATTAAACGCATAGGAGACGGACAGCATTCTGTGGCAGTGCCGAGAGCCATCGGCAACTGAGGGCTGCAAAAACCACTGTGAAAATTGCTTGATCAATTGTGACCCCCTGGGTCGCACCTTGTGGTGCCCATTTCAGTCTTGTATTTGAACTGCCCCACATAGTCGCCATGCACAACTTGGCTGGCATGCAACCCCTGCATCCCATTGTCCCTGAGACCCTGTGCGGCTTCCACCACCACCCTGCGCTCAATCGATGCCTCGGCGGCAGAACCCATGAGGTAGGCAGGGTTGAAGTCTGACCTCTCAGGTGTGCCCAGGGCCTCAGGGTCCACCTTGGATCGAATAAGGTCGGCTGCAGCCTCGTACTGCCTAGAGACCCACATCCAGTGGGTGGCACAGCCTCCAGGCCCGAAAAAATCTGCAAGCAAGGGAGCACATCAGGGAACAGAAGAAGATAGCAAGTTTGCACGATGCAAGACACTACTGCTGTGGCAAATACAACTAGCAGGGGATGCGCTTGTTGATACTGGTGGTGCAGATCAATATCCAGTTCAATAGTACCTTACAAAGTGCCTTCCATTTGGCAAGGTAGTTCCTAGCGCATATGAGTCAATGAGCTCTGTCACGTGCTTGGCCACAGGGGACACTGGTAAATTTTGTTGCATGGGGTGACTTCAGTTTATGTGCATCCATTAATGTGAGCATACAGCACATTTATGTATGAGACATGGGGACCCAGAACTCTTTAGCTGATCACTCATGAGACAACAGAGGGTCCTTGGTGGTCATTTCTATTTGGACACTGTTGACATCTGTCTTGATGCTGAGTAGGACGGACCAGATGAGGCCATTTAGTGAGGTCCAACAATTGGTGACTTTGACTACAGCAACAGAGAAATCCCACCAGTTCGTCCAGCAAAACCCAGGTACACGCCCATGTATTTGGTGTACTCAATATTCAGCTAGTCAACTACATCAACACATGAGCACCCCACCTGGAATCTTCCGGAACTTGGCCATGTGCAGCCTGAACTGCTGTAGCGCATCGTCCAGGCGGTGCTGGTGCAACAGCAGCATGACCAGCTTGAAGTGCACCTGCTCTGCTACTTGGGTCAGCTCTACATGCCGCCGCACGCTCACTGGGTTGCCCAAGAACACTTGGCAAGCATGCGAATAGGCAGCCTGGTACTGCTTCACTGCCGTCACCCAATCCTGACGAAACTCTGCCAACATGCCTACCTGCAATCAACAATCAATCGATCCATCAATCAGCTGTCCAGGGACATGGAATTTCAACATCATTTCTACTGCACTGTGCAACACGACCAATGGTATGGCAGCGAACAGAACTGCCTGCAGCTTTGTCAGCACAGTTGTGGGCACTACGTCACAAACCATGTCATGCATCTGCTGGGGTTTTGAACTTAGTGCATGGGCAAGCAAGGGCCCAATGTTCCAGCTGCCTGTGCACACAATGACAGCCACACAACATGGTAGTAGTCGCTGATAACCTGGGTACCATGATGTGCAGGGTATAATAATTTCCAAAATGAAAATTGTGCATGCATACAGCAGGCCAACTCTGGCAGTTCTTTTCTCTTCATGTTTCCCAGCACACTTGCAGTATTTCAAACCATTGGTGGGCAATGGAAATGCATTTGTTGTGAACACTGTCTGACACCAGTTGACAATTGCAAGAACAGTGTTTCAACATAATATGACAACCCACAAGAACAGGGCTCATTGGTCTGTACTTGGTGCTACGTGCTTAGTGCTCTGGCCTTGGTGCACTGCATTCAAGGATCTATCCTAGTGGCCTACTTTGCAGCAGTGCCAAATGGATGCAAGGCTTGGCACTTAGCGATACAACACTGCACTTGCTTTGGCTGCAAGCTCATTGTGTACAATGACACCATAACCACAAGGATTCAGAAAAGCAGGAACAGGAGACCTCCTTACAAAATAAGGCAGAAAATAATGCATTGGCATCATGCAACAAAGAAGGATAGTGCTGATCAAGGTCAAAAACATCTCAACCAATGGTTGACTATGCTGTTCCCCCTGGCGAATCTCACCTTGAACGCAACCCATGTGCTGAGCTCAGGGCTGCTGTGCTGCCGCTGGGTGTGCTTCTGCACCACACGAGCTGCCTCAGACTGATAGTAACTCCAGGCCTGCTCAAGCACTGTCTCTCCTAGTGCTAGAATATCATCCTGCCGAAGCTGCGGCTGACCCATGGGCTTGCTCACACTAAGGATCTGAATACACCTGGAAACACCCCACATGGCTTGGCATGCACACAAAACATCCAGTTTCGTGCCATCAAATGCATCAGATGCTTCTGTTGCATGAAATCAGAGAGAAACAGCAGCCACTGTTGCCCAATTGCTGCACCAGCGATTATGCAATCAGCACAGGCCTCCACGTTTGCTTTGACATCTATGTTTCAGCTATTCATTTGCACACCATACCAACAGTGTATGTATTTACAGTGCTCAAGTCACAATAACTTGCTCAAGAGGGGAAGCCCAATGTGTGCGGGGGTTTCCCTTCTTGCCATCATACTGTCAATCAGAAACCAGCTTGAATGCCATCACTACATTTGCACCAGAGTGTGTAGCCTGAAGCACACAATCGATCAGCTGCAGGACCTTGCACAAGCTGCATGGAGCACATATGTCACAATATGACACAAGCACTGCCCATTCAACTGCCAGGGTTTGTCAAGTAAACCATTTTATCATGGACACACTCATAAAAGCATTGGTATCTTGCCCAGTTCAACAGTGTGAAAGCAATGAGCAAACAGTATTCGTCAGCACACAGCCCCAACAGCAATCGTCAACTCACCCTTCCCTCTAATTCAGCAAATCATTCCACGTTGTTCTGAGTTTCGACAGTGGTTAATCTGTCAACCTTGCGTTCTCTGAAAGAACAATTTGCACATTGTGCTGGTGGCCAACAAGCCACATGGCCATAAGAGTTAAGATAAACCAGCACTGTGCAACTGTGGCAAGTTCTCTTTCATGCCTCAGTGAAGCTTAACACTTTTGTCTTTTTCATCCCTTCTTTCCTGGAATGTTCATTTGCACATTTGAGGGTGGATGGCATCCATATGTCCAAAGGCCCAGACAAGGAATGCACCACACATCAAAGGTGGTTCATGCAAGGTCGAGCGCCGAACTGTTGCCTTTATCTGTGGCCCCGATCTGTGTTCCTGTGATCTGTTTACCTGCACATGCTATCTCCATTCTTGGCAGCAAGCATTTTGACTCGATTTGCTTAGAAATGACAAGAGCTGTGCTGCCACCTGAAAGACAATAGTGACATAGACTGCATCCCCGTTGTCTGTCCAGGGCAATATGCTCACTTCGCTCCAGCCTGAAAAGTGATAGATCCTGATGTGTGGCCTGAGACAGCTACTGTTAATCAGGGAGCTTCCCCACCTGGACTCCAGTGTGAGGTACTGCCTGAGGGCAAAGATTCTGTCTGATGGGACCTCCCTCTGGCCCTCATCTGCCACCACTGCAAGAACCAGCCTGCCATTGCGCTGGGCGATGCAGTCGCGAACATGCTGCAGTTGCTGCAGAACTGTGCTCCACTGGGCAGGGTCCCCAGCAATTGACTGCCTAAGAGGCAGGCAACATTCATTCAGTAAACTCTTTTGTACTTGACTCTTCTGTCCAATCGATCGTTGTCAGGTGCAACAATTTTTGAAACGTGGGGATATTGGAATTTCACAGCACGATCAGCTGTCTGCCACCATGCAAAGCTGGTCAGCAGACGAATTCGATCCTGTCCATGCCAAGGTTCAGCAACGGGTTTCTTCAACTGCCACACACATGTACAGGGATATCACATCATCGGAAGTGAACCTACCTCTGAACGAACACGACAGACACCGCTGCCCTCTCATTTCTGTGCTTCAGGATCCAGCCGTCCTGCCCACACAATGTATGCCAGCTTGATGGCTAAAAATCCTTTTGCCACATTGCATTCACCAGACAAAATGGAGCCCATACAGCTTGTGGGCGAGCACGGCCATCCGCACAGCCAGAACGTTCGGCTCTTCCTCGTCAAATCATTTTTTTCAGCCTCTTTCACGAAGCCGGCCATCCAGACCCGATGGATGACGCAGCAGTGACAGAATTGGCCGTCCAAAAAGACAAAACCAAAAGGTGGTCCAGGCCATCCACCAATATCCTGAAAGTAAATAGTCGCACGGTAGACGCCTTGCGCGGTACTGCGCCTTGCATCGCGATCATCAACCAAACCGTTGCTGGTGGTGGCCTGATTGGACACCCAACAGGACGCCCAATCCACAAATCGGATGCACATTGCCCGTGGTTACCTTTATGACGCCGTCGGGAAGCGCTCTCTGGCTGCGCGCCGGCTTCACCGGGCCTGATCACAGCCCAGGATTGCGAGTCAGACCCCGGCACCAAGTCGGAAAAGGGGCGCCCAAATTGTCCGCCTCGCTTTGCTCCATCTTCGATCGGCGCACGACACCCACCGCAAAAGTAGTCGGACATGTTGGCCAGGTCCGGGTCGCCGATTATGTTCAGCGGCGGCCTCAGGGTGCCCGTGAAGAACGTCCTCAGCTGGGAGTGCAGCTCGCGGTGGCCCACGAGCAGCAGGGTGGGCAGCGGGGGCGTCCGCAACTCGGGCGGGTAGCCGTTCATGTTTCGCAGCCCCTCCCCGCCCCCGGGGACCGAGGGGCCTGGGGATCGCGTCGATCGGCAGCCGGCGCAGCGTGTACTGCTCGCGGCAGTTGTTGAACACCACTCCGCGGGTTTGCCTTGGGCCCCGCGTCAAGAGGAAAGTGCGGGGTGAAGAGGGCGCACAAGGTGGGAGCGGATTGGGGCCCCGTGCTGGTCTTGGTGTGGGGCTCCCGTTTAACGACCCCCTGTGGCCCTGTGACTGCTGCCCGACATGAGATGGCATGACATACCCGCGGTGTCGATTTATCCCGTGCGTCAATTATAGTTTTGGACAGCCAATTCTTGTCAGTACTTTCCGTGCTTTGGCAGTGCTTAGGTGTCGCTGTACAACGAGGACAAGGCCGCCGCACAGCGATTCAGGAAGCGGTGGCTGGCCTTCCACAAGGAAGGATGCAAAAGGAATGCGGAGGGTGAGCCGCTTATATGGGAAGCGGGTTGTCGTATGTGGTGAAAAATGGTCCCCAAGGCCTCGGCACATTGAGTTGCTGTCATTGTACAACTGGCAATTTTCCCCGTTGCTCTGTGTGCATTGGGAAACGTCAATCAACTGTCCTCTGGTGTTATTCTTTCCCTGTCACTGAATCTTCGCACAAATTGACAAGAGTGGATCCGCCTTCTCCACAGGTGGTGCTTGACCCATTTATATATGCCGTCTTCTCCTGTTCACCCTTGGGCACCTGTTCATCGCTTCAGTGCATGTCGTTGTTGGCAGACCACCTGTGCCTGGCCTGAGCCTCTGTTGCTGATTCCCCTTGGTGCACCATGGAACATTGGCCACACAAGCTCCCACAATGAACTGATGTTGCAGACCATTCTACGCATGCGATGCAACTGGACATGCAGCGGCGCTCCCTCCTGTGCTGTCGCCTGCTGCTGTTAAGTGCTCTCGCCCCAACATGGACTTACACTGCCACTTGTGTTTGCTTATTGATTCAGTTGCACTGCTTCCTTGTCCCTTCAACCTTTGTTCGGCACGGAGAAGCAAGTTCAAAGCGCTCTGTGCAGCCAGCTCGACAACGACTCTTGTGGCCTTCACAAGCGCAACAAGCTACAAACGTGCAAATCACAGTGGACAGGCAAATGACAGCATTTTCTCTTGATGCAATATTCTGGAACAAAGAAAACTGCTAGCGCTGTTGTTCAACAAACTCGTGCAGCCACGTGTCAGAGTAACTATGACATTGCCGAACATCGTGAGAACACATTCGGATCTTTCAAGCTCATCACGCACATGGCCGGGTCCAACGAGAAGCAATGCCTGGCACAGCCTCAAGGGTGTTGATCTTAATGAGGCAGGCCCTGGAATGCGCACTGGTTCACACACACTAGCTCGCACTTGACCTCGCAGACCGCTCACCAAAGATGACTGACAATTTGGGAGGCTTGAAAGACAGATGCCACACACAATTAAACACACTTGGTGGTAGCTATTCGGATGGCTGCAAACACTGGAAACTATTACCTCTCATCTACGGCTTGCAAGCGCCCTATGCAACTCACAGCCTCAACAATCGAATCACTGAATGGGGGCAGCAATTATCTGGTCTGCAGTCAAGTGTACCAGATGGTGGCGGGCGGGTGCGGCACGGCCGCTAAGTTCCCAGCTGGAATACCGATCATGGCGGTAGTCCCTCCCCGCCGAGGCAATTCTCCAAGGGCATAATTCTTCACGGAGTCCATCCCACCCCCATCGAACGTGAGTCGGCACGATAGGTGGCGCGCGAGAGCAGGAAAGGCCGGTGCGCGCAACCAGGGAGGTCAGGCCGCTGGAGGTGCAGGCACGGTGAGGATGTCGCGTCGCGCGAAAGATCCAAGGGGTCTCGAAGGACGACAGGCCGCGCTGCAGGGACGCAACCCACACGGGCGGAAAAGCGAGTATGCACCCTGCTGGTGCAATGGCACGTCACAGGGCTGCGCCCAGCTTTTCCAGCCTCCTTGGGAGCGGAACAGAAATACGAACCAAAATACGGCTCGTACCGTACCCACAGCTTGCACAGTTCATACCGTTCTCAGCGCTCGACCGAACAGCTTGTTTGGACACGGATAGCAAATGGCAAATTGTCCCCCAAGTGCCAACCATTCCGGGGGTCATACCAGCTTGGCCCTGGCCCAAGAAGTAATGCTCGAGTAGAATGTGATGATAGCACTGCTTATTACAGTTCGGATGTGCGAAAGATCACCTGTATGGGGCGGCATTCAAAACAATTCCGAGGGCCCCATTTTTCAGGAAAGCAGCCCCCACGAGGACCTCACAGGGACAACATTGCCATGCAAGGAATGACAAGAAATTTTAAACAAAATCAGCTATCCAGAAGTCTCATTCGTTTTCGATCAGTGCCAGCCCCCTTCCCAATTCCACTATATTCGCTCAACACGGGAATCCACACGGCGCCAATGCAAACCACTGGTGGTGGGGCCCACGCACGCAGCTAGACCGACGGCTCTCCCCTGTGAAGCCCCCCAACCAGGCGCCACCATTTTCCTTCGTCCGACATCGCCCAATGGGTGCAAAACCTGTGACACGTGTAGATTTCCGCCACGTCACCTCCGCCGCTACTGCTCCGTTACCTTCCCTCCTTTCTCCATCCCACTCCAGGAACTGATCTTCAAGTGCACACAACTACTGCTCAGCCAGTCAGGAAAGGGCTTTGCCAGAAATCCCCCCTTCCAAACCAGACTGACGGCCGCCACCCTAAACTATGCACCCTGCCATGAGAAGTGCTCCCTTTGCAGAACTTCAGTCAAAACCTACACCCGCCAAGGCATGGAGGTGGAGGCAGCCGTCAGCTCCTCACTCCAGTTCGCTTTAGTGCAGAAATTCAACAAACCAATTTGCCCAGGATTGTCTTCCTTCCCTGGGTTCCACCAATCGCCAAACATGTCCCAAAATCTCTCAGTGTGTAAAAGGGCAGCGCATCGTCATGTTAGACAAATGCAGTCAATAAGCATTTGAACCTGCCTAATCCACATTGTCCCCTCCGTCCCAATCTGTATCATCTCCATCTGTGCCCATCTCCTTTGGCACATACTCCTCCGCATCCCCATCGTCATCGTCCTCCTCCCTCAGGGCCCCGTCCCTGCACAGGGCTTGGTCCAGCTTCACGTAATTTACGACCTTACGCCGCCGTTTGGAGCGGCCTCCAGGAAGGGCCTCTTGCTCCTCCCATGAGCGTTTGCCTCCAAACGGGCTCTAATCACATCAGATTTCGCAACTCAGTTACACAATCAAACACACTACCGACCTGAAATGTGCACTTTGGGGCGCAAACAGTTAGAATTGGGTTGAAGCGTGACTATTTTATCCAAGCAGTTGTTGAAATTGACAAACTGCTGTACTTGCATATTAAACACCATGGCAGACAATTTGGCACTTGCTAGAATCGCGTGACTGAGGTGAGCTGTGGGTAAGTCAATATGAAAAATGTGACTGAGAGGCGTCCTCAACATGGTAGTGTTGCTATTGCTGCAATGTGCAAGGAAACTGTTCTGCCCAGGAATGGCCCATGCCATTCAAAACAGGTGTCTACCTGTTGGCAGACATCCATTGCATCTAAACTCTGCAGCTGCGTTGTGTCGACCTCTTGATGCTCCAAGTTGCCATCCTGTGCAACGTCAGAATCGTCGTCTGTATCTGAGCTCGACGAGCTCGGTGAGACATCCCCCTCCCGCGCATCCCCTTCCCGCTGAGCATCGGAGTCCTCTTCAGGGCTGTTCACAACAAGTGCAAATGGGTCTCATACAAGCCGCATTCACTAATTCCGAATTCGGTCGGGGGGGGGGGGGGACAAACGCTCAAACAAGTCAAAGCACTGCAATGTTGGGCAGAAGATAGCAGACTCTCCTGTACAACAGGAGGGCTCTCCCCTCATGTGCAAACCTGAAGTCTTCATCTTCGTCATCGTCTTCAGAGGCCAACTCGCCGGCAAGCACAGTGGCTATTGGGACCTCACCATCGTCTTCTGAGCTGCTGCCACCTTGAGATTGCGGGTCGCTGCCCTCAACAGGAGTACAGGTGCCCGTGGGCTCCACACTTGCCTCACGCTCCCTCTCTGGGCTCCGTTCCCCGTCCCCATGCATCCTGAACAGCGCGTCAGCCTTTGTGGCCAGGCTGTAGGATGTCTCAAAGTGCTCGTTCAGCATAGCAAGGATCTCATTCTGGGGTGGCAAACAAGGATGATGTCATTTAAAGTAGAGGCTATCCCTCAGATTAGAACTAACATGGTACTGTTCACCAAGACACTCTGTGATATGTCACACAATGTAATGCCTGGCACTGTTCAAAAAGCAGCAAGAAAGCAAAATGCGACTCCAACTTAGTGAAGCCATGAGCAGGTTGACTCGTCTAAATGACAGAATGCCATACTGTGAAGGACGAACAGACACCAGATATTCAGTCAAGCACAGCCACGTAGTCAGAGCTGACTACACACATATGGGAAGTCTGCGATATTGTCATAAGTTGCAATATAAAGGAGCACAACCAACGACATGCAATGACGCTGTCTGGCATCCAGGAACAACTACACCAGGCACGTGCAGTATGGGGAGCTTGGTGGGATCAAACGATAACAATAATTTCAATAACGGAAACTGACATTGACAGATAGGCCTTCCTTGCCATCTAGGCGCTCAGCTTCAGCTTCCCAAATGGATACATTCAATTCCTGGACTCAAAAGCACCTTGCAGTCGCAAGCAGGACACAGCCAAGTGTCTCTTTCTAGATCCTCCATAGTGATGGGAGGCACCAGGCACAGTTGGTGGTATGCTCGTCGACAGGGCCCGTCGCAGAGCACAATATCGTTGCCCTGCAGCCAAAGCACATCAAGACAAGTTGCTTGCACAATGAGACAGCAATGACTGCCTTGACACCTGGCAATCTTCAAGGACAGGAGCAAAAACATTGTCATACACTGGACAGCCTCTTGGTGAGTGTTTGGGACCCTGCATATATTGCACAAGGTTCCTCACAATATGAAAGCCTCCAAGTGGATCGGTAACAGCTGTTGAAGAGGCAACTCTCTGCCTTGCACTGAAGAGAATGAAAGATATTGAAAAGGCCAGAGAGATATAGCTCTTTGTTATGCAGCTAGCATCAAGGCGACAAATCACATGGCGTGTGCATCCCAGCTGTGTGGGGACTATATGTGGGCTCCAAACAATAGGAGATTCTGTTGGAAGGACATTTTGTGCGGAGCTGTGTTGCGTTTGTGAAAGCCCCACGTCCAACATGGTCAAATGCCTTCTGAGTTGCTTAGCAACACCATGGAATGGCAAGAGGCGGTCAATGTGGGGCATGTTGGTGTGGCTGGAGGAGCTTCACAACAGTAGTGAACTGCCTGCAAGGCCATGACCACCTTTGAATAGTCCAGAGCCTGGTTATGACACTTTGCCAGTTGTCCACACTGGCTGCAGACAGCATCCAGACTCCTTGGCAGGTGGTTGAAGCTTACTGGTGTGCTGTTGCTGACACATGCATTCTTATCTGCCTGCTCTGCAATAAATAGGACAATACGTCCAGTAATGTTGAATTTACTGTAATGGTGACTGTCAATTGCAACTTTACCTTGCTATTATGTCAACCAAACTCTCAATCGAAGTTAAAAACAAGTATCAAGACCCCAGCCAGATGTCATGGTATTGTCCGGAATGAATACAATTCAGCCCATGAGGCTGCTGTGGCCACGGTCTTGTTCTGACTGAGCGTCGCACCTTCTCTTCCGAAGCTAGGCCGCCACATCTGGAGCAGGCAATGGCATCAACGATGGGGTCTCCATGCTCATCAAAAGCAGAGTCTGGCATTGCAGTATCTCCTCCGGCTTCGTCACAGATGGCGACACACTCCCTTACTTTGTGCTGTGATCGCTGTATCTGCAACCTTGCCCGTTGCAACTCAGCAGTGGGCTTCACAACATTTCGGCTGTGCACAGTCACATGCAACTGTTTAGAGAGTGTGCAGGCCATAACTTGTTGGCGGTGACACACAGGACAGAACTTCAGCCTGTGAAGGCAATACATGCAAATGCTGGCAGCTGCTTTGGAGCAACATGGCCGCCAAGGATAGCATTGGATGAAGCAAGCTTCATCCCAGGTAGAGAAGTGTGGCCCCAAAGTGACCAACCCCAACATTCACTCCCTCACACAAATGTAAACACTACAGCACACAGGGTGTTCACTCCCATATGTGCATTAACAGATGACATTCACCCAAAACCCAACATCTCACGCAAGGCATTCAGACAGGGAAGCGGGGTAGGGTTGGCGGGTGGGTGGGTGGGGGCCAGGGCTGGAGGGGCATTTGTATGTTATGTTGCTTTCTGTCCACACATCAGTCGAAGATGTGCACCTCAGGCACCCTATCACCCCACCTTGCTCCATTCCAGCCGTTGGACTGGTACGCACTCAACAGCAGCTCCTCTCTCTTTATCGTTTGCACATGGTTCTTCACGCGCTGAAGAGCCATTTTAAGTGGGTTCTGTTGCAATTCCCCTCCATTCTTGGGCTTCTTGCTGGGCCTCTTGCGTTGCTTTGGAGTGGCAGACGGGGACTTGGGGCAACTGGCCTTCCTCTGCAGACCAGCTGTGGAGGCCTCTGGCTTGACCGACCTAGAGTGGTCCCCTTCTTCAGTGCTGGGAAACGAGGGAGCTTCCAGCGCCTGGGCTGGACTCGCTTCTCTGCCTTTGAATGGTGTGCCCATCAGTCTGAGACTGCCAGCTTCCCACATGCACACTTTCACCCCAGCGAACTTGAAGTGGACAAGAAATCTGCAAGCACCAGACAAGAGTCTCAGCCTCCCGCACCAATATCTGCGGGCGGAGGACCCGATTTGCCAATCCACTCAGTATACATGAAATAGTTGGGATGGGGACCAACTGTTGCAATGCCCTGGCAGCAGGGGCATATCTGTCCCAGCATCTGACAGGCAATGAAAACTGCCACAATTCGAATGCTGGAATGCCACCGAAGGTTCACGTTTCCGGCTGTGAACGCTGCTATTGCCAAGCAAACAAGACCCACCATTGTTGCAAAAAACAAAGCCAAAGTGTCATTGGGCAAAGAGATGAAGATCAAACCCCACAGCACGGAAGCAGGACACACTGTGGAATAGCTCCAACAAAAGTGGTCCAGATCGTGTGCTTTGCAGCTATGCTTTGAGCTGTTCCCAACTGGCTATGGCGGCTTAGAGCAGGAGCACTGTGATGTGTATGACAGAGTTGGGGTTCGGGCAGTACAGATGCCTCATAGGCCCGTTTGGGCTCAAAGCAAGCCTGAGAAAAAACACAGCGATGGAGTATACCTGTTGTCCTTCTGTTGCCGGCCAGCCTTCTTTCCTTGCCCATTCTTTGATTTTCGTTTTCCTGTGCAGTGAGCCAGAAGGTGAGTATGACCAGCCGAACTGTGTTCGAGGAGTCTTCAAGAAACGCATCCTCCATCAAGAGGAGTGGCACAATCGGTTCAAAGAACCACCCACAACTGTGGTCAACCATGGGATCAGTTTGTTTCTCGTTCTTGGCAGCAACCGGCTCACCTGGTGTTGGCAGCCCAGGTTGTGGCAACGAGGAGCACTTTGATTCTTTAAGCGCTTCACACTGGCTGCCACCCAGTGTCGCCATGGCTACCTTGTCAGCCCCTGAAAGAAGCAAAACAGCAAGTTTGTGAGAATCCTGCCTGGGACGTGCCCTGGCTACTAATTGTACACAATAGCAGAAAATCCATTGCTCTGAGCAGCACGTGGGGATCCTCAGAACTGTTGGCACAAAAAGGGCCCAGGAGTCCGATTGCCAGATTTCCCGGTTCCTTGGTGGGCAATTGAGAGCCCGGCGGGCAGCGTGCTGCTCGCTGGTGAGGTCAAACATGCACATTGGTGTATAACGCCTGGCGGGCCATGCTCCACGGGCGGGCAGAGCCGGGGGCGAGGCCCCACAGGCCTTGCTGCACCACAGCACGGGCGCAAATCACCTCCGAGGCCGCCCTCATGAAAGTTTGCCAGCTGGGGACGTCAGCTTCAAGCAGGAGGTGGGGGGTGGGGTGGGGTGAGGTGGGGCTCTGCTGGGACTTGTGTGCAGCGCAGTAGTTTGCGCCTCGATTGATGAAGGGCAGAAAACCCTCGGCAAGCGGCCCCAAACGCCCTTCGCCCGGATTCCGCGTCAATGCCGCGGCCGGGCTCGCATGGCGCCTTCCAAATTGGCCGAGCGGAAGGCAGCGGTCAGGCGCACCACACACGGGTGCTGCCCCTTTTTCGGGTCGATGCGTGAGCGGCGGGGGCCATGGCCGGATTTTGGAATCAGCAGCTGTGACTGCGCAAATTTCGCCCCGGTTGCCTCGGGCGGCGCGCAAGCGGCCCGTGCCCGCCGGCTGGCGTCTTGCGGGTCTCTGCGGGCTCGCGATGGCGGCGCTGACGAAAGGGATCGGGTCGGACATCAGCGAACTTGTGTGACGGTCGAGGTTGCGGTCGTAGGATTCGAATTTTGGTGTCCTTAAGCCTGCACTTGACTGCCACACTTCTCGCTCCCGATGCTTCAAGGCAGACGGCGGCTTGGAGCTGATGGGCTGAGAGCCTGCTGGCTAGTTGGGAACGTCCTTTTCACTTTGATCGCTGCAGGGGCAACCCAGTGCTGCCAAGCAACTGAGTGTGGTGTGGTGACAGTTGGATGCGAAAATTGCAGGTCTTTAAGTTCACAATAATGAACTCACCATCCCGAGGCTTGCCATGCACAACGCAAAACCTGCGGTTCACCGACCTCCGGGGTTCCTTGGCAGGAATTGCTCGCCAGACGCAGCACAGAATGGGGCATCAATTCATAATGCTCTTCAGATAGTGTGCATTGCACACTTTCTGAACACTTCGGAGAGTGCACAGCACGCTATGCATCTTGGAATTTTAGCCTCTCAGTGGATGGGCCAAGTCTCCAACATCCCACCTTCAGTTGCATGATTGCTGTTCATGCACAGCACGAGATCGTTGCTACTGATTCATTCTTTCCTCAATCTTGCCAAGCTTGATTTTGCAGTCATGCCACTCACAGTTGCTTGCATTTCCCTCCACACAAGGGGACTTTCAGATCGTCTGCATAAATTGGAAATTGTTCGTGTGAATCTCCCTTAGGAAGAGGTGCCTTATGTGGGCTATGTGTTGTACACTTTGTAAGATGGATGGTGCAGTTGGCATCTTGTCAGAGTTGCCTTATGCAGTCTGTGCTTACTGCACGAAATCTACATATTGATACGGTGGGATATAAGGAGTTCATGACCTGGGCAATAGCCTGATGCCAATGGCTTCTCATAGTCTTTGCTATCCCGACCACTCACAAAACCACCCCGCTGTGGTAGGGAGGTGATGGGCATGCTATATGTCATTTGTTAGGAACTTACCCCTGGTGCTTGGAATTGAGCTGGCGCACCCCTGTTTTATTGTACAGGCTGTTTCTTGTCCAATTCACGCAGCAGGTGCTGCTGAGCAACGCTTGAGAAAGCTGTTCAGCAACACAGTTTGTTTCTGCTAGAAAGCATTGCTCTTCATGCCTCAGTTTGGAATAGAACAACATGACGAACATGAGCACCCTGCTGTCGCCAAAATGTTCAACACGAATTCAAACCCGATGCTCCACCACCTTTTCTGGCACATTGATACCACGCCCTGCAATGATCTATCCCCAGTTGCCAATACCCCAGAATTCTGGACCCTGCTGTGTCTTGCGCCGAGTTCAGCTAGCCGCAGCATGCACAGCGTACAGGTGAAGAATTGCTCGAAGTATGTCGGCAGCTGTGATAACACGAGTTGGTCTTATCAACCATATGTTAGAATCTAACAGTTAGATTATAAGCACACAAGTTCCGCGAGAGGTACAGTGCAAACTCGAATCAAACATTCTCTGCGGCCGGCTGGCCCCCTGTGGTGGACGATTCCTGCTGCTACTCAAGCAGAAAACAATACGCATCCTTTGCGGCAGATGCATCATATCAATTGCCCGGAATCTTAGGCAGAGGGCATTCAACAGAGGCATCAATGATACGAAATTGCCGCATTCCTCATCCGCCTCCTTGGGCAACCCTTCACCCGTTATGTCAAGCGGACTTCTGTCCTTCATGTCTGTGGACACGCCGCATCCGGCCATGGTCAAACATTTGGCTTGTTAGCAACCCCGTCTTATCGCCTGACGGCATGGCAGCTTGCAGTGACATAATGCGTTGATGTGCGTGGTTCACAACCACTCACAAGCACATCGCTCGACAGAAACTGACCAATTGCCACCCGGCTACCAATAAGTGGAGACCAACAAGGCACGCTCTGGAGCTTGATCACTCAAACTTGTTATCCACTTTTGTTATGTCCTCACTCGTCCGCTGGCGAACTCAAGCACATGCGGCAGCCTCCCGGTTTCCTGCTGTTTCGAGCGGCGAGCAGAATGGAACACAGAGCAAGTGCGAAAATTGGCGAGTCGCGTCATTCACGCCAAACAGCTTGGCACTCATTCTTCCCAATCATGCCATTCTTCCCGATGGCTCAGAGGTTTGAGAGGTGTGTGCCTTTGACAGCCAAAATCTGTCCCAAGCTTTTTGAGCAAGCAAGCTGTGAGCCATATGCAGATTATGTTAACATGCTAATGCAAATTGTAATGTACCACGCAACGTTATTAGAGCACATGCATTGCAACGTCAAAGGCGGCAAATGCCGTCGTACGATGTTTCGATGTCTTGTTCGCAAACAAACGCAATGACACTACTTTGAATGCCAGGCATTGACAAAAAAAAATCTTTAGGAGAACTGCACTGGCACCCTGACCCTACTGAGTGCCCACTCAACATCCGTGACCCAGGCGTAGCATGATAAGTCCACGACATATTCGCAACTGCAAAGGCGGTGGGTTGGGATGCCATGGAATAGACGGACACAGAGACTGACAGACCCCGAACTTAGGTGGTATCGAAAATGCTCAATAATGTCAACATCCCATGCATCAGCATATCTTCCTGCCAGTTTTATAGTGTGCAAGTACGTACACGTTTTCAAACATAACGTGTTCCTTCGTGTCCATGTATCACAAGGATGTGCACAAGTGCGATCCAAGCGTCCACGGAATATGCAAGCCCCCCGAACAAACGAGGTAGAAACTGGGTCTATATACCTCCGTAGCGTGTTCCATGTCCAACAGCTGTTTTGCATTGTCCAGGGGTAACAACACACGGGTAGTCCCCTCAGATTCGGGCCCTCCACAAGCACCATTGCCCAAGGGCATTGGCGCTTTCCTTTCTGCAACTGTCATAGTGGCGCATTCGAGCCGGCCCACGCAGTACGTCTTGTCATAAGAGGTTCCATGCCAGCATCGATGCGGTCTCAATATGTTATGCAGCTTCATCAAAAGATCAGCAAGCCAACATTGTGCACTGTGGCGAAATGTGGCTCCAAACAGCACCTGGCCGTGTGCTGGATGGCAAACGAATAAAATGAGTGGATGAGGGACACAAAAACGTTTGGATGCGTGCGAGCCCGCTGTCGCCCGCAATGCGCAAGCCCCCCCGCTTTGCTTTTCGAAGGCATCTTTCTGGTAGTGGAGTGAAACCGCGTTTTTGTTGTCCTGAGGGGACCAGACTGCGGATCACGCTGTTGCTGCCCGCCTGGCAACGACCAGGCCCCTGCCAGCGCCTGCCAACGTCTTTTCCCACCCGGCCAAGCTCTTTCCACCCAACGCACCAGCATGCCGAGGGCAAACTTTTTCGGAAACCACCCGGATTTGTCCTCCACGACAGTCCGACATCCGCATGGATGAAAATGGCCAACGAGACAGCCCTGACTCAACTTCTGACACCAACCGGCTCGATTTGGCCACCCCAAGGCGTACGGCACGACGCCGCTGGCCGACATGACGCGTGCACAAAACCGGCTGAGCCCCCCGCTTGGCCGACCCACCTGGTGTCCGCCTCCGTCCTCAACCTCCCCCCGCAGCCCGCAGGCCCGCCACCCGCCATGGCCGTGGGCGACCCCAGCGCCCAGGCCGCCGACGGTGTCTGCTCGCGCCTGCCCTCCAACAACGCCTTCGAGGACGACCCAAAGGCAGGTGGAAAGATGGCGCTACCCTGTTGTTTCTTGTCGCCACGCCATTTTTATCTCTCTGTGGCCACCCCGGCGCGGAGCAAGCGGCGGGGAGCGACGGCGACGGGTCGGATGCACTGCCCAGAGGGAAGGTTGTGCGGGAAAATGGTCGCATGGCTGACGCCCACCCCGTTGATGCGGTTGCAGGTGTGGGATTTGGTCATCGTGGGTGCTGGGGTGGCGGGCTCGGCCCTCGCTTATGCCCAAGGCAAGGTGGGTTCGGCGGCAGGACCAATCCGGATGATCGGTTGTAAATCACAAGCTGTAGCGGGAGAATTGGGCAGGGGCCTTGCTGCGCCTCGGCATGGCAGGGGGGTCCGTGGATGTGAGTGGATTTTCTCGGCGGACTGAGAAGATGGGTAACAGAAAACGGAAATTTTCTCTCACAGTTCAGGGCTGGGTGTTATACAAGGGCGTCGGGGCTGCCCTGGTCGCAAGAAACTGACCACGGCCTGGGCAGTTTTGAAGGTCCAGTTTGTTGTGTGATGTCCTGCCGGGTGCTGAAACCTTCACATCGATTTCCACCATGGAAGAATCCTCAATAGTCTTTCTCAGGAAGTTGAAGTTTCCAGAAGAGTGGCAACACACATCTAAGGGTTTGCAGGCGTGTTCCCTGGTGCCGTGCTCTGTGATGTGTGCGTGGATAGTTTCAAGCATCCATGGTCCACGTAACAGTGGTGGCCCTGGCTCAGAATGGCAGGCGTGTACTTCTGCTGGAACGGGACCTTTCAGTGCCAGACAGGATCGTGGGGGAGCTGCTCCAACCCGGTGGCTACCTTGCCCTAAAGAAACTGGGGCTCACGGAGGCTGTGAAGGAAATCGATGCTCAGAAGGTGTGCTCTGGAAAATATTTGAACTGGACTTTGGCTCGTGCCGTGGCTTGCATTGGAGGCATGTATTCGGAATCCTAAATGGGCTGTCATGCTGCTCCTCTGGACAATATGTTAAGGTGTCAGCATGTTGGGACATGTTGTAAAATTGGATTTGGGAACTGGATCCATTTGAGTTGTTTTGTACCACAACTTAACAAGCAGTGCCCTTGCAGCTTTGGATGTGTTGATGGGTGATGTGCCTCTGTCACACTCAAACGCCTTTTTGTTACACACCTGTGTTCTTGGATTCGAAATCGTTGGTGGCACTGTGATGTCGGCAACGTTCAGCCTGTCAATCTGTGGGGCATCGAGTCGGTGTGGTTGTCCCTTGCTCAGATTTATGGCTATTGCATCTTCAAGGAAGGCAGGGAACTTCTTGTCAACTATCCATTGGACAGTCTCAGCGATGACGTGGCTGGCCGCAGCTTTCACAATGGTGAGCACACTGTGATCATTCAGGCATTGGACCAGTGTACTTGGTACCTGTACTGTGGCATAAAATGCCCATTGCTTGCTGACAAAAGACGCAGCACTGCTCTTTCACCAGCTTGGTCAACTGCTGGCACCTTAATGTTGTCCGTTGGTCTACACTCAGCGAACAAGTGTGCCACTTTCGTAACCCTGTTGAATGGACAATGCAATAGTGTGGCATCGAATCAGTGTTGTGTCCCTGTACCCCAAGCAACCCAGCGAGCGGCTGGGACATTTGTGGCAGGTCTGCAACCAACAGAACCTTCCTTTGCATGTTGTGGTGGCAGCTATGTGCACTGCTTGCCCCAACATCTGCAGGGCCATATGGTTGTGCTTTGTCTTGCAAAGGCAAATGTACCATCAAGAGTTTAGCAGTGTGCACCTACAGGTGTATCTGTGTCATAGCTGTGAGTCAGAGTACATGGGCGTTCATCACTATACAGAAGTATGTCTGTGTCCCATGTCAGTCAATCTCCCAAGAGCATTCCCTGCCATGAGTCTCCACCCTCTGAATGGAGGTGTCATGGTCCACAGGAGCCTCCAAATATTGGTGTGGTCTCTATTGCTGAAATTTTAGTCTCTTTAACAGTCATCAAGTTGTAGAGCCCAAGACCAAACTGCTGGAAAGTCTGCGATCTCAGGAAAATAGTCTTGAGCTACTATGTAGTCACGCACACAAGGAATTGTGTGCACATGATGCACAATTCCACAGTCTTTACCCAGATTTGCGGATCTGAGGCATTGCAGCGTGGATTTTCCCATGCTGCTGAGTATTCTGGAACCGCTGCTGGTTTTGACCCACTCTGTAAAATTGCTGCTCAGGGGCATGTCACCACCATGCACATGCCCACATAGACCCCTGCAAACATCGCTGTGAATTGTGTCTGTTGGACTTGAACTGGCAAACTGGTTTTTGTTGCCAGGGCGCAACCTTTGCTTTGGTGTCCAGAGGCTGGGCTGGCTGACAAGGAGCCTGTTTCGTTCACGAGATGCTTTTGCAAGGAGCTGTCAGGGGACAATGCTAAAACGCGTTTTTGACTGTTTAGGTACTGTTAGGAAGTTCAGTGTCATCAAAATATTGTTCTGCTTGGTACGCCGTGGATCTTTCGTTCATCCCTGTGTTGGTGTACACGGAATGGAAGGAATTTCAGCTCAGTACAGATGTACCCAGTCACCAAGGTCCCTACTGACCATTGGCTGTATGTGCACAGGGAGGTTTGTCCAGCGCATGCGACAAGCAGCTGCTGCACTCCCCTCAGTCACTGTCCGGGAGGGCATTGGGAAGATGCTTGTCAATGGTGGGTTTTGCTGTGGTGGTTTCAACGGGATGCAATCTTGACGTGCACACAATGCACTTGGAATGGCTGCCTGCTATTTTGAAGTTTCTTGCTAAATTGTTTTTCCTGGCCTTGATTACTGTACCCCAGACTTTGAATTGTATTTATCGCATCTCTAAAAGATGTGTGGAAGCAAGTCACAGTATGCAAGCTGAATACACTTAGAATGCGAAAAGCAGAAAACGACGAATATGAGAACGAGAAAACAATAGCAGGAGAAATGTCACGGCATGAGGAACACAAAATCTTCCAGCCTGACATGGTGTTGCACATGCACAGGAATGGCTTTGTCATGTTTTTCAACACAGCCGGAAGAAACTGTATCATTATGCTCCATTCAGTTTGTTGATTTGTTCCTCAACATTTTGTCACAGCTGTGCAGGTTCTTGACATTTAACATTGCCCCAGGTGCTGATGAGTACAAATATACTGTTGTTGCAGCAAGATCTCTACATCAGCAGCAGCAATGTGTCCTTGCACTTTTGTAGTACTGTTGTAGTACACTCTTGTTACACATCTGCGTTAAAAACATGATTTCCATTAAATGACAATGGCGAAATCCGATCTTGCCCATATTCATAATCCTGTGTACTATGCTGCCACGCCTATGTGACAATTGCCCAGGTTAACTACAGATCTTGCCTGCACCCTGCCTGTGCAGACAGGACAGCAACTCTGCGAATCCGATCCAGGCGACGTTGACCCTTGTTGCTGGCACAGGGCTGCCTAAATGCCTGAGCTTCCTTGCCTCTTTGCCGATGCAGAAAATGGCACAGAGTGCAGCAGCGGCGATTCTGTGCAAGGGGTCCAGTATCGAGATCAGACTGGAGCCACACGGATCGCCCACGCCGGCCTCACCATAGTGTGCGACGGGATGTACTCGTCCTTCAGGAAGGTGTTGCGCAAGGACAAGGTCGACATTCACCACCCCTCTTACTTTGTTGGCCTCAAGCTGAGGGGCTTAACGCTTCCACACCCCAACTACGGCCATGTCGTGCTTGCCAACCCCACTCCTGTGCTCTTGTACCCGATCAGCTCATGTGAGGTGCGCTGCCTGGTGGACGTTCGGGGAGAAAAGCTGCCCAGCAAACAGGATGGGGAGCTGGCCAGGTATGAAGTGGGGCACGGTAGCGGGGATGTTGGCAGTTTGTTGACGCACATGTGCAAGTTTGTGGGTACAGATTCTGAAGTAGATTCTGACGTAGATTCTGAACTGGAGCTTTTGAAGTATTGGGTTGTGGGCCTCAATCCTAAGTTGCAGCGCCATCAGACAACATTCCTCTTCCAGTAGCTTCCAGGTTGTACTGATGTTAAGTTGGTGAG